TTGCTATCAATTGGAGAATTTCTTGGAATTATATTTTGTTGTGTTTCCATGGAATCAAATTTGATTTAGTTTTTGGTGTACAATTTTGTTTCCGAAATATATCTCATAAACCATGTAAGATATTTTCATGAAATTTTGTACAAACAACAACCTGTGATAGTAGTAGTACCTTTTTATACGCCCACATGGAACTGTAGACGTATATTGCCGTCGCCCCTGTCCGTCCGTCCGTCGTCCACAATTTCTTGTGAACGCTCTAACGCCAAAAGTTATCATCCGATTGTTTTAAAATTGATATATCTTGTTTACATTAGTGAGATGAAGAATGCTATTTAATTTCCGTTTATTACGTCTAGAGTTATGGCCCTTGTTTCACTTCGTTGAACCTTGTGATCGCGCTAACGCCAAAAGTTATCATCCGATCTTTGTGAAATTTATATACATTATTTAAATTAGTGAAACGAAGAATCATATCGAATTTTAGTAATTTTAGTAACTGTTTCGCTTTGTTTCAATCTTGTTAATGCTCGATTGATGAAAGTTATCATCAGATACGTATGAAATTATATGCACCATTTAAATTTGTGACACGGAGGTCTTTTGAATTTCAGCAATTTCCGTCAATTATTTTGTAGAGTTATGGTCCTTGTTTTACTTTGTGAACTCTGTGAATGTTCGAATGACAAAAGTTATCATCCAATCTGTATGGAATTTATACGCTTTATTTAAATTAGTAAAATGAAAAAGTTTGTCAAATCTCAAAATTTTCTGTACATTACTTCCAGAGTTAAGGCCCTTGTTTCAGTTTGTAGAACCTTGTGAACCCTCCAACGACAAAAATTATAATCTGATCTGTATGAAATTATCTTGTAAATGCCCCGAATTACCTACAAAAGAATAAATATGCGACAACCCTTGTCGCCCGGTCAGACGATTTAGCTGCTGTGGGCGTATGTTTCGATGCCTGGCAACCTATCTTAGTAATTAGAAATTTCTCGGATTTATAATTTTTGTGTTTCCATGGAAATTTTTCTTTTGAAAGATTTTTTAATTTTTACTACACATTTAACTTATTTTTTGGTATAACATTTTTTTACATTCACCAATCTATTTATTTTTTGATGACCGCCCTTCCATCCATATTTCGTTTCCGAAGTATATTTTATTATCCGTTCAAGAAATGTTTTTGAAACTCTGTACAAACATCAACCTATCATAGTATTTTATTTTGTGATGTATGAATGCTTATTGTTTAACACACAGCAGCTGATTTAGATGGGAAAAAGTTGTGCAAACCTTACATGAAGTAGCGACCCTGCCGTAAGTTCCTTGATTATGGCTACTGACTGTACGAAAAAATCGCGATTTAGCCCATGGACCCTCTAGAAGTCAAAATTTTTATCCGATTTTAAAGGTCGTTTAAATATATCATCGTCTGATGATGATTGAAGTTCGAATTTCGTAAAAATCGGACCGAAACTGCCCGACAAAATGTCCGCTCTTTGAACGCAAATAATGTAAAAGTATGTAATACCAAGGTTGTGGATCCGCAAGAGGTCACAATGTTTGTCTGATTTTGATGAAACTTAAAATAAATCTTTATATCCCAAAGATCTCAGTTCCTTTGGATGTTCGCACTTATATCAGACCATACTTCCTGGATTATGGCCCTTGATTGTAGGGCCTGCGAAAAATCGCATTTTTAGCTTGTGGATCCTCTAGAGGTCACAATTTTTATCCGATTTTAAAAACCGTTTAAATATATCACTGTTGGACCACAGTGAAGGTTGAGTTGGAATTTCCGGAAAATCGAAACGAAACTGCCCGACAAAATGGCCGCTCTTTGTATGCAAATTGTGTAAATGTATGTAATAATACGAAGGTTGGGGACCCTCTAGAGGTTTTGATGAAACTTAAAATATATATTTATATCCCAAAGATCTCAGTACCGTTCGATGTTCGCGCATTTCAGACCATAACTTCCTGGATTATGGCCCCTGATTGTACGAAAAATCGCATTTTTTTATAGCTTGTTCTCTACTCATCTCTTGCAAATGCAAAATGTGGGCGTATCATGCCTTGCAACCGTTGGTTCCTATGCCTTCCAAACAAGTGCAGGGGCGCGGGAGGGTGATGATTAGTGGTAATTGGAATATTATGTTCAAACTATTGTAAATATTCATTAGATGATCGTTGATGATCAGCATTTACGAAATCCATCAAACACCCTTTGGCTACAAATGATGTACATTCACCCGGTATTAACTATGAAAACAAAACCTTCATGTCGACCTGAAAATTGGAGAAACGGTCGACCAGTATTTTTTGTTTTTTTTTGTTTTATAAGGTCCTATGTGGAAATGTATTTGATGTCATCACAATTTAATAGCCTATAACATCAAATAAGAAATTACCTGTAAATGATCCAAACAAGATATAACCATCTGTTTTATAACTTTTTTCAGTCCGTTGATTCTTATTTGGATTTTTATGTGAACGGTCCTACAGTCCTAGTTTCGCTTTCAATTTCCTACTGCGAATAAACGGACACAGATCACTAATACCTAGTTATAATTCCTGCAAGGGCGAAAACTATTTTTAGTCTTTCTCGCAATAAATTATTTTTAGTCTTTCTCGTCTTCCAGCTTTTGCGTGGCAATCTTTGTTTACTTTTTGGCGTAGAATCGAAGAAAAGGGTTTGCCAGGTTTTGGTGAATATTCAGGATTTTGAAGCGGAAAGATACCAGAGTTAAGAGGTTGATTCGGTTGAATTTTAATGTAGGGCGGTCTCTACTTCCAGTTCGTTTGTGTATTCAAGGTTTCAATGACGAACTTCATACGTGCTTTGAGCAAGAGTCTGGAGGTTGCCACATGTTGATCCATCTGTGGTAGAAAGGTTAATCTCTGAAATATTAGTCCTGTTACTCCTGTACCACTGGTAGTAGTGACAGTGAAATGGGGAAATCTCATATTCAGAGCCGGTCTAATACGAAATGAAATGAAATGGGGTTTAACGTCCTACTGTTCTGCTCCTACTGGGCTAATCAAGACGGGCATATGCCATACATAGCTAAGAGAACGTAGCTAAAAACGTTGAGATATACTGATATGTGTTTGTTTTTAGCTACGATTGGATGCCTTTAGTTCCAAGTGGCAAACTCAATTTCAACATCTTTAAAATAGATAAGCTTATGATATTATGATTAATTAAACTTACAGAGGCCACTGTAGTGGCACAACTGTCGCCTAACTCCAAATATATTTGCGTTTAAATTAATGAAGCGTTGTTTTTGTCTGACATTTCACCATCGAAATCCATTCATAGTTACTGTGCTTTCGATTGTCCTTTTGATTGGCTGTTATAAAAGCCTTATATTTAGCCCCGCCTTCATGATGACAGTGTATCGTTTAAAAAGATGGCGGTCTTAGTAACGGCATAACGCCTCGATTTTAAAAACGACGATTTGTACCCGTTTCAGGTAGGATTAGATTATATGCTTAATTGTAGTTGGGTGTTGTAGAAATATTATAAATAACAATAATCAATCGTTGTTTTGATTAAAACTATTGTCAATTTTGTTTTAAAATGCCGGGTGTGAATCGCTCCCGCAGCTGCAACGTTATAGGTCATGGCCTCAGTTCTTAACTCGAAACACGGACTACTCTTATATTCCAACTGTCAAGGGATCTTTTGCGTGCATTCCAATGATACACGGGACCTCGGTTTTTCGTATCATCCAAAGGACTAGACAGCTGTCCTTGTCAGGCCCTCCGTTCTGCACCACTGACAAGGGGAAACCACGTCAGAAATATGCCATACAGTGTGCTGAGGGAAATTATGCCCGGGCAGTGGCACTATCGCCTACTCTTGTATCGAATTCCAACTGTCAAGGGATCTTTTACGTGCATTCCAATGTATACACAGGACCTCGGTTTTTCGTATCATCAGAAGGACTAGACAGCTGTCCTTGTCAGGACCTCCGTTCTGCACCACTGACAAGGGGAAACCACGTCGGAAAATAGTTTAAAGTCAATGTCACATGTGGTCAAACAGGCCAAGCCGACCAAGCCCAGAATAAAAATCCCCCGCTAAATGTCATGCCTTCTATTTATAGTTTGATTTTACATTTTCTATAGGGTTTCGCTGAAATGTAGGCCTGTATGGCTAAGCGTTACCGTTTCTCAATCAATAGTTTAGCATTTAGCATATAACAGGGCCTACAAACTTTTGGACAAAGACGAAAGAATTCTAACTGTATGTTTTGGGCAAGGCGTTGCCACAGTCAAAAATAGGCGAAAGTTCTAACAGATGGTAAAATAGTTGAGAATTAACATTAAAATCTGTTGGAATATGTTTAGTGATCGTGTCCATACGGTATCCATGGTTTACTGATTCTGTGGATCTGTAAAAAAAGACTTGTACAAGAAACAGGTTATGTCAATATTAAATATTTACTTAAACATTTCCTTAGTTCCATTTTCACAAAATTACAAACCTAAAAAAAACCCGGTAACCCCAAGACCCAAACAACTGATAATGTGAGTTGACATTAAGTAGGCCTACGTCCAACTTCCATATTGTTAGCATTTAGATCCATGGACCGAAATTTAAAATAACCACTTGCTTTTTCTTACTTCTTGTGACCAATTAGAAGATCACACTAAAATCTTTAGCAAGTCTCAGCAACTGATCCTTATTTGAGAGATTTTGAATCCTTTGCAAACTACACAATACTGTGAAAGTTGATTTTATAAAATTAAATTAATTTCAGTTAAAATAATCTTGAACTGCAGTTAGTATTTACAAAGATAAGATGAATTTAAAATTTGGTAAAATTCGGCATCCTCTGCAGACCTATAAATGTTCAGGAAATGCACAATTGGGATAGTTAACTTTAGGAAGGCTTTTATTAGAAATCACAACTGATGAAAGAAAATATCAAGTCCATAAGGTACCCGTCAATCAAATGTAAAGATTGTAACAAATAATTATTAATTAAAAAAAATCAACTTTTATTTGATATGAAAATTCATTTAAACATTATGCAAATTAAATTTTTCTTTTTCATGAATATATTTCATACAGGATTCTAAATACTTAGCAGGGGCAGATCCAGATTGGGGGTCCAAAACCAATGATACTCCGCCACATAAAAAAAAATTGTAAAACAACACTTTATGAGAAAAGTGTAAGGGTTGTGTGCTTTATCCTTTATCATCAGATGGTGGGATGGGATTGGCATCCAAAGCACAAAATAATGATATAAACGTGTGATATCACAATTAATGCTTTGCATCAATAAAATCGAATCACAATGTGATCCTATTAATTCATTACTGACATCAAACAGGGTGTTGGATTGCTCACTTTAAAAAGCTCAATGTGTATGTATGCCTACATAATTTAGAGACGATGATAGCATCATGCATTTTCAACTGTTAAATTTCCTTAACAAGAGTCTGGCACACATCCTCCGGCAAAAATTCTTGGATCTGCCCCTGCTTAGATCACTACAAACAAACACTTTATTTAGGTTCCATAATATAAAGTACAATGCATATTTGAACATTGAAAATGGATAACTGCACGAAAAAGTAAAATTCTGATACGTTTATTAAGGCACAATTGATTTATATACCGGTATTATCATATATGGCACAAAATACACTTAATAAAAGTTTGACATAAATTTAATCAATTCCAATAACAAAAAAGGAAATGCATCTACATCAGCAAATATGGAATGAAAAAGTATAAAACAACAAACATTTAAAATACAATTCAAATACATCTACTGGTAATAATTAGAAATATTAATATATCTTTGCAGCAGTATTTCTAAAATATTCATATTAAAAAAAAAGAAATAGTAGCACTTATTAGCAAATAAATAGATAATGTGGAGCTAATACTTAATAATATAGGAAATACCTACATATACAAATAATTATATCTATACATATAAGAAATTGATGTACAATGTGGAGCTCCTTTATATGATGGAATATCAATGCATAATACATGACATAATGATATTCGTTAAAAACATGGACCATATTCAAGCAAGTATATATTTGAATATATACGGTAACAAGGGCAAAAGTTTCAAATATTATGTAATAATTTGTAAATCCCACTCAGCAATGCATCAGAATAATCAGGTGAAAAAAAAAAACCTTTGGAATACCTTGGACCTATATTTTACTTTGCCAAATTAGAACATTGTAATCTTAAGAAATTCAAGATATACGATACCAGCAGACAGTATCCTATTGATATGCATTACATAACTTTAAACCTCAAAACAATAGGTTTTAGCAAATAACTACCAGTATACACAAAAAATATTCATTAGATTTTAATTAAACTGAGCAAGATTAACACAATAGGGGCAATCACTAAAAAAAAAAAACCTCAAAGATACACAAATAAAAATGAATATATTATTGTTATATAAAAATCATAAACTATCACAGCATTAATCATTTTACAAACATTCATAGAAAAGATTCCACAATTAACTAAAATGGAAGACCGGTTGGTGTTGAGTGATTATATTATTAGTCAAGATCACGAAGACATCTGGGGCTACTGAAAAAGTTCTAACAGTAAAACAGTATCTAGCTGCGAAAATAACTGGTCCCCACAATGATGTGGGTGTTACTATAACAACAGACAATAGTCTTTTCTAGATAATCTTCCTGAATATGTCAGACAGACACCCTCTTACAACCTTTGTTTTCAGAAACAGATGTCTTGGTGCCTAAGTTAATAACTAGATCTATACATGTGCACATGTTAAATATTATATTTTATGGGTTATACCGTCAACCATTAATCCAGTTAATTTTGGAATCTTCATCAAATTTAACAAAATTGTGTATCCACGGCAACTTTATCCATGGCACTAATGATGACATCAGTAGCTACTGGTTCCTCACACAGATTAACAAAAGTGTAAAAATGTCTCATAGCATAATCATTCTGAAATATAAAATAATAATTATGTACTAGAATGATCTAATTCTTGTGAATTTGAAAATAATGAGGTAATGAGAATGTATATTTTTCATACTAAATGTGAACCTATAAAAAAATCAAGTGTTAATTAAAATCCAATTTTCTAAGGCAAATTTTATGTTTTTATTACAATTGAAAGTCTTGGCAATGTTTATGATAAAACAGGTTATTTCATCTAACTGAACAATCACAAATTTTAACAGTTGCATATTCTCCTCCCCACACCCTTACCACCGCAGTTTCAATGCAACATTCATATGGAGCAGCTGCAATAATATGCCTGCCACTGAACATAAGATCAGAAATAATCACAGAAACATCAGATTTAGATGATTTGGGGGTTACTATAGTTAGAACTGTTAGAAATTATTAAATAAGGGTCTGCCTAAACAAAGTATCTGATACCATGAAGGGCTACCACCGGGTGCCCATAAAGAATAACTGAAAAATATGTTAACCATTAATTTACCTCTGGTAGATTCAAAGCAGGACATACTCGAAGTAGATGATTAATAACAGTTCTATAACAATCATGTTGGGTCAATGGTCGTCTCAAGGTCATCATTTTACGTGTATCCGATAACTGATCATTGACAGCGAATGAGATCATATGTTTGATTGTGTTAACTGTCTTGGTTCTCTCCTGAAGAAAAAGACAAATTTTAAAATATTCTATGAACTTGTTATTTCATATTGGCATTTTAAATTGGAATTAAGAGGGAAATCTCAAAGTTTTTTCCCAAAATGTTAAATTGAGATTATATTCAAATCAAAAGCACATATCAACCAAATTATACAACGGCACAACTTAAATTCAGCAATTTGGTCTATTAAATAATTGTGGCAGTTAGAAATCTCTTATCCAATAGCTTGTGACTAGTTCTATTTAATCAAAAAATAAACTTTTTAACGCTAAAAAAACTAGATGAATCACAAACCATGACAAGAAGGTCTAATTCATCTTCAATAAACATCCTCTCCTCATCAGTTTTAGCAGCAAGTAGACGATGCTCTAAGATGGCTAATTTGACATCTTCAGACTTCACAGCATCTAACTGAAATGCAGAGATACTGAATTATATACAGAGTATGTGAGATTATGAATATTAAATGCCATGAATATTAATTAGCATCTGCATAGAATCCTGGGCCATGATCTTTTTAGTTTTGCAGTCGGTGTCTGGTGCCCCTCGCCCTATACAGTTAAATAAAGTTTATATGGTTTTATCATGGAACTGCGTTGTCTAAATCACTTTTACAATATAAGTATATATTTAGCAAAAATATTACTACTATTCCACAGTGCTAGTGCACTACTAATTTTGAGAGATTGAATAGTTCAAGTGATGAAGAGATGGATGTGCGATAATTCATGTGGTCAAATTCAATTATTTTCTTTAGTATATATATAACATTCACTGAGATATGTGGGTATTTGAGACCATATATTTTGAAGTAATAATACGTTATATCAGTTTATTAAGTAGAAATAATTGGAAAGATCTGATGGGATTACTTTACAATTACATTGTTTTGAAGATCAAAGGGTGGGGGATTAAATGTGTCCATATACCAAAATTATCTCCCCTTGATCTTCGCAGGTCTAATTTGCTTGGTATTTATTGGTATATTTATAGCACATTGACATCTTCATTGAAGATTGTTTGAAGATCAAGGGGGGAATTAAATGTGTCCATGTACCAAAATTATCTCCCCGTGATCTTCACAGGTCTAATATGTTTGATATTTATTGGTATATTTATAACACATTGAGATCTTCATTGAAAACTAAGCTGTTTTACGAATAAGAAGAAAAAAGTAAATTTGGCGGTTATTAAAATCTACATTAACTCACATTTGGGTTTGGTATATTTTCAGTATCAACAGGAGCAGCTATTTGTTTACCCTGGAATTCGGCGACTGTCATTTGACCAATAGTCTACACAAAAATAAGTAAAATCATTTTACATACAAAACATAAATATAAATATAGAACTGAGGTATCAGACCACTGGAATTGATCTATTAAAGTAGCCCCAGTAAACATTTCATTTTATATATTTGCTATCATAATACTGGCATTAAACAAATGTGTCTCAGCACTTATTTATTCCAATATTTTTGTTTACATTCTACACTAGAACAATCCTATGTTTTTTTCTGTATAGTTTTCCCAAGCTTTAAAAGTCAAAATATGGAAGACAAGAAAATTCTGCAAAATGCATTTGAAATATATGATCCAAAGAATTTTTAAATTCAATAGGATTTTTATGTCACTGAGCAGCAATCTCACAGCCAGTCCTGTATCACTTTCACAAGATTTTATAAATTTGAATATAAACAGGGAAATATCAAAAGGGTGGGAAGCAAGATTGACAGATAAAGGTGACAACAATACCCGACCATAATAAATGGATGTGCAAAAAATTTTCTAATGTTAAAACTTACCACATCACCAAATTCTTGAACATGGCTAGTGTTTGTTTCTTTTTTGGTGATTTCAAACTGGTGAGTTAATGTTTCGGTTGATAAATCTTCCTGAAAATACCAAGGGAGATATATCTTGTTATCACACAATATATTTCAGAAACCATATGATAAGTAATACTATTTAATAAGCTAATTTTTAGAGATTTTACTATCTAACACATTTCAATGTACTAAGATAATTTAAATAAACAGCCTGCCTACAAATATAACAATGCATGTAAATATATAACCCAAATGCATATAGATGAAATAAATTCTGTAAAACTTAATTTTCACTCAATTTCAATCAAACATCTCAAAGTTTTAAAAAAAGTTTTGATGTTAAATCAACAAAGGGACATAATTCAGTAAAGTGGAATTTCAAGAAACTTGAAAGTGATCTGTAACACTGCTATATACAGCAGTGTACCAACCTTTAACCAAATACCTCAAAGTTTAAATTAACCTACAAAAGTTTGCATGTTAAGCATTCATAAAATACAAGTTTCAATTTTCTATTTACTTGAAATTCAAAGAAAATAAAGCATAAACTTTGTGATTAGTAGCCTATTCAGTGCTATGTTTTCTTTTATATATTAACCTTATCAGAATCTTGCATCCACATAACAGAGTAAACATCACCAAGATAAGTTTCTAATCTGGAATCAAAGTAACAAGCATATGAGGATTCCTTGCCATTAGCTGCAGTTGTCGCAAAAACTGAAAACAAAACACAATTACAAATCAGTTATCATTATTCTAATAAATATCAGTCAAGTATTTTTCAGAAACAAGTGGAGAAACTCCAAGGGAGGTTGAGGAGCCATGTTGGTTCAGTAATACGTTGGCTCAACAACCTGGTGGTCCCTTGTTCGATCCCGGTGTTGACGGAGAATGTTCTGGATTTTCCGATGTGGTTTCCCCTTGTCAGTGGTGCAGGATAGAGAGTCTGACAAGGGACAACATAAAGTCCTTCAGATGGTATGAAAACCATGGGTTCCATGCACACCAATGTGTGCATGTCAATGTACCCTTAGCAGTTGGAATTCGATAGTACATTGTATGGCATATACCCATCTTCATTAACCCAGTTTGAGCAGAACAGTAAGACGTTAAATTTTATTTCATTTCGCGGAAAGTTGGATGTTAAGGAGCCCCGGCCCCAGTACTATTGGCAGTTGGAATTTGATATAAGCCATAGCGCCGGTGTCCAAGAAAAATTTCCCTCATAGCACACTGTATGGTGCATACCCATCTTCATTAGCCAAGTCGGAGCGGAACAGTAAGATGTTAAATTCCATTTCATTTTAAGGGAAGTTGAGGAGCCCTGGCCTCAGAGCTGGTCGGTACAGTTCCCCGTGCCAGCAAGGAAGATAGGTTACCAGGCAACATAACATACGCCCACCGCAGCTAAATCGCCCGAGCAGTCGACAAGAGTTGTAGCATATTTATTCTTTTGTAGGTAATTGGGAGCATTTACAAGACAATTTCATACAGATCAGATTATAATTTTCGTCATTTGAGGGTTCACAAGGTTCTACAAACTGAAACAAGGTCCTTCACTTTGGAAGTAATTTACAGAAATTGTTAAAATTTGACAGGCTTTTTCGTTTTACTAATTTAAATAATGCATATCGGATGATAACTTTTGGCGTTAGAGAATTCACAAGGTTCAACAAAGTGAAACAAGGGCCATAACTGCAGATATAATAAACGGAAATTGCTAAAATTGAATAGGACTCATAGCACACTGTATGGCCGTCTTCATTAGCCCAGTATAGGAGCTGAACAGTAGGACGTTAAACCCCATTTCAGTTCATTACATTAACCTATATGGTCCAGCAAAGTTGAATGTTAAACGTTAAACACCATTTCATTTCATTTCTGTTCAAGGGAAGCTCTTGTTGACAATCTACAAATTTTAATATAACCCTTATTATGTAGTACACATGCATGACAGTGAATGGATGAGCTCTGATCTCCACAAATTGACATTAAAAAATGATGTTGCCTACCATTAATATTTTTAGGTAAAAGATCACCAGCAAATATTGATCCAGATTCACAAGCTTCAATATAGAACACCAACTGGAAACAAAACATTTATTAAATGACAAAAAATCCATTCTTGAGTCAACATTTGTTGGATATTTAGATATGTCACTATTACACTAGCATAGGCGGACTTTGTAGCTCTGGGCCCCTGGACCAACTGGTATCCTTGGGCCTCCATCGTGGTGACATAATCACTTTGCTACTCGGATAAAGGCCATTTTGAATAAAATATGTAAAATTATTTTTTCCAGTCAGGGCTGATGGGGCCCTTTCCCCTCTGGATCCATTCCACAACTGCACACAAGAAATACTCATGTCAATTGCAAATGGTAGGAAAAATGATGTGAAGTCATCTGAACAGTCCACGAGAGACAATTGAAAGCTTTGGCAATGTTTATGATAAAACAGAGAGAGAGAGAGAGAGAGAGAGAGAGAGAGAGATGGGGTTTAATGTCAACTTGACACAAACTAGGTCATTTCGGGACTAATATATGGTTCAATTTTATTTCAATAATTTGCTTGCACATAGGTCTTTAGCAGTGGGAGGCAACTGTAGGACCTGGAGACAACAAAGAGGTTGGACAGGTGTCCCTACTCCTTGTCACATACAACCGGGGAATCGAAACCATGACAGTTGACGAGAAGTCGACAAGGGTTGTCACATATTTATTCTTTTTATGTAATGGAGGCAAATTAAAAGACCCTGAAAAACTAAAATTTGATTGGATTCTAGTTCTTCCTGATGCTAACATTTATTATAGGGCTTCATAATAATTTCAAATCAATCAGATAATGACTTTAGCATGGGGCGCGTTCTAACAGGGATGACAACAAACATATTGTTTTCAATTATTAAATTAGTAAAAACCTTCTAACCTTAGCAAATTTCTGGTCTCTCGCCATCTTCTTTATAACAGGGCTCAGTTCTGAGGCATGTAACTGAAAATCAAATTTTTAAAAAGAATTGAGAATTAAACCTAACAATTGTGACACACTAGACCAAAAATAATATTACTATTATAAAGTAGAAATCCATCTTAACTGTAAATAAGGGATTAACAGAGCCTTATGAGTCTTACCATTTCCAGTGTTTGATAATTCTACACTCAATACTGCTGTACCAATGCATAATATGTTTTGTGTCTAAGCAGTACATCTTGTTAAATCTATTGGCTAATCTAATAGCTCTAATGTTTCCCACTTTTAATCTAAATAGACACAGCTACAGTGTATGTATCTAGTCTCAATTGTCACTCATACCTTTTTTTTATCAAACCTATTTATGGCTATTATTTATCTTGTTTTAAATTATTACGTAGGAATTCATTGTTTATTAAAGTTTTTGTTAACCCATCAGAAAACAGCATTCAGTCCAGCAAGGCTAGCTAGTGTCAACATTTCAAGGAAAACAAAGAAATCTTTAGATACATGTAATAATATTAATCTTTTAGAGGCATTTAGTAACTGGATAGAGCAATAAACTATAACATATAATTATGGAACAACAATTACTGATTTATTTAGGCAATGTTTCGAAGACGTTTTCAAGCAAGTACAGTAACAAATGTGTAGGGCAATTATATGTATATAGACTCCTCAAAACATTGCCTAAATAAATCAGCAATTTTCTTCCATACGTATGTGTTATAGTTTCTATAATAATATATTTATAAACTTACAAAAGTTCTAGGGAATCCGAGGATACCAGGTGCACCATGATCAACAAAGTTGACAAAAACATGATCATTAGGTCCACTGGAATAAAAAAAATGTATATATTTTTATATAAATAAAAATCAACAAAAATCTGTTTCTGAAACAGATTTTGTCATTATAAATGGAAATACCATAGCATTATATTTTTCAGGCATTCCATGTATAAATATTAGATATGATCTTTGTTTTGCTAAGTTAGAAATTAACAATCCATTATTTATCATATGTAATCTTTATTTAATCAATGCTCTATCACTTGAATGTTTCTCCTGATAATATTACTCAATAAATCCGCCTGTACTCAACAACAAAGTTAAATTCAGACAAGTCATGTTTTCATGCTACTTGTCCCGTGGTATCTGACCTATTATTATTTTTTATAACCAAGTGCACCCATATTTCTATTTATCATATGATTCAATATCAGAGACTTGAGACTTTATAATTCAACAATATTTAAGTATGAAGGAAATTTAAAATGTCCCTGTCTCGTGGACAGCTTTTCTGTATGAAACAAAACTGTGACTTTTAATACTAAAATAACATACACCTGTACATGTACTAAGGTTTTAATTACAAAGTTATAATTTGCAAATAACTATGAATCTTGAGCAGACTTTGATAAATAGTTATAAATGGCAAACTGTGTTACAGAAAGAAATATATCAAGGGATATAACTCTTCTGTTACCTGTTATCTCCCCTTAGACCACAAATGACACATTTATATGGAATACAAGTTGGTTAAAAGATTTATTTCTGGTCATATAAAAAATATTTAACCCAGACAGAAAATAAATTAAATTTATTTTAATTATTCATACGACCTTTAGATACAACCTGAGATTTATTATTCTTGTAAATTAGATCATCACTACAAAAATTTGTGTATCTTTTAACGATGTTTATGAGCATATTATGCACACCATGCAAAAGCATACTCTTTAAATGAGATTTAATCTCTAAAAAACCAAACAAATAGGTTGCCGGACAATGAGACATGCACACATATATAAATCATCCAAATATCCATAGATAACTTGAGCATGTACAAAACACTAAAAAGTTATGTAAGGCAACAATCCTTGAAGTAATTATTGTATACAAGATTTTTAAAAGTGATTAAGAACTGTACGTAACTCTGAAAGTAATTGTAATTTGGTGAAAATCAATGGACATTTTTTATCCCAATCATCAAGAGCCATAACTCGGAAAGTAATTTTCAGATTATAAATAAGGTAACAATCCTTGAAGTATTTATTGTATAGAAGATTTTCTAAAGTGAGTTCTTAAAAGAATTACATATAACTCTGAAAATAACTGTTGAAAATCAATGGACATCTTTCATCCCAATCAAGGGCCATAACTCTGAAAGTAATTATTAGATTATAACTAAGTCTGAAAGTAATTGTGCATACACCAACCAAATTTTCTTGACACATGTTCAAGGCAATGGCATCAAATCTCTAATAATCTGTCCTTTTAAACAGGAACCCCCAAAAACTTATTTTTATCTGAAAAATACTTTTTTTTACCTTTGAATAACTTTACCACTTCCATTCATGGCCCGAACAGCCTCAGCGTTTCCTTGTAAAACTTCTAAAAACATTTTTGGATTTACATTCTAAAAAAAATTAACAAAGCATGAACAATCAAAAACAAATTCATTTCTTATCAATACTGAATTATAATTCTATAACTAAAGCTAAAATCTGAAAACCAAAAGTGATCAACTCATAGAAACAGATCTTGCAAAGCTCTTCCTCTCAAGTTATTCAGTTGACTCAAAAGTCAAAGAGCAACCATAGATAGACAAGTTTCTAAGATGTTATTCTTATGATTAAAAGACAATGAATACAGTAAGTGAAGCTTATTATCTCACCAATTTATATATAAAAACTATCTATATAATGAATCTTACCTCTCCGGTATAATCTTTCAGTACTCCTGGATAAACATTTGGTCCATTAGGTTGATTAATAATAACACCTTTATCTTTGTTCCTGAAATAATAACATGTTGATAATGTTTTCTGTTTCTGAAGAGATCTTTGCAAATATTTACGTTTTTAGTACACTCTTGGTATATCATACTTACAATTCTGACTACTGGGCAAAGTTTGGGATAGTTCATTCTCTCCATGCACTTATGTTTTGTATGAACACAATATGCTTCATAACATAACAAATTTTGTAGTTAAAAGTAATGGAAGCTTATCAATGCTATTTCCCGAAGCTGACAAATGACTTCTGTTGACCTAATTCTGGCCTCTATTAAACCCAACCAACAATGTCCGACCAGCAAAATTTCGAAATAGCATCCATGTCTGAATCCCATTTGACTTAGAAAGCCCTGGCATAAGCAATCTGATTAAAAAACAGATCTATACTTTCGATGGGCTCTATTACATGAAGATCTGATCGGTTTTAGCGTAAGGTCGCGTCAGAGGTCATACGAGAGGCTTTTGACCCTATAATATCAGACATTTGATTAACCACCAATCAGCTTTGATGTTTCTAGTGGGTTAATCACAGTTCTGTGTACCTCACGCCAAAAACTCGCCATAACAGACCGTTTCATTGTCTAATCCCTCACATCATCCAGAACGCAAGTTAAATAACAACTCTTTCAGATCCTGATGTAGTAAAGTAAAAACGAAATTTTGAACTACTTGTATGAAAAACAAATCAAAATAGGATCTGTGTTTTAATCAGATTCTGGCATAAGCAAGATTGATTATATTCCAACATTGGCTTTATCTATGGTCGTAAATATTGGAATGAAAGACAGATTCTCACTCCATAAAACAAATCCGCACTCAGAAATCAAAATTGTTATTTCTTAACAAGATTCTATCATTTTAAGACATTATCCTTAAAGATACTTTCCTGTGTACAAACTGTGTTATTTGATGATACATGTATATTAAAATTTGGACTAGTTAATCTATCAAAAATTTGCTTCAAATCCCTCTTAAAACAGGGGGTTGGATGGCCAAATGGTTAGCGTGTGCGCACTGTAACATAAGGTCTGTCATTGAGTCAACTGGCTTTGTTTCAATTCCCCGCTTGTACGTGACAATGAGTAGGGTCGTCTGTCTAACCTCATGGGTTTTCTCTGCGTCCTCCGGTTTCCTCCCACTGCTAAAGATCCCTACCCGCAAGCGAATTAATGAAATAAAATTGAACCATATGTTAGTACCGAAATAACCTAGTTTGTGTCGAGTGGACGCTAAACCCCATTTCTCTCCCCCTCTCAAAGCTTTGTATTTGTCCGGAGATACCACAAACTATAAATAAACTGTTGTTAAGACACCATGTCTGTCAGCTCAATTCATTGAGGGAGGGGCCATCTTTCAGAATGTATTTTTCGTTATTTACTGTCCAGTTATTATCCATATTGAGGCCTAAGTAAATACTTAATTATTTTCTGTAAACTACTTTTTCCGCCAGTGATACCCTGACATTTTTGTGCTTGCCCCATGGGTGTTTTTTGGGTAATCCAGTATTTTTCTAGGAAGATTGGGTCTATACTTTTCATATACCAAATTTGTCATACTTTTATCATAAATAACCACCCAATAAATACTTTTGGAACAATGTATCTTTAATTAAATAAATTTATTATGATAGCATATTTCACTTACTCTTTATTGTTAGCAATATCATCAACCATCATAACTATAATTCTTTCATCAGGTATTCCATGTTTCTTTACAATTTGGTAGGCGTGGCACACATCAGCCTGAAAGTAAACCAACCCATAACACATGATATACATTTAATCAATAATGTTGTCACCTGTGTCCATTGCCAATCCATAATGTCTTATGAACACTCTACAGTAATACAGGAGAAAAAATTCCCAATGGAAGTTTAACAGATACGTTGTCAACAAGGGTTGTTGCAATTTAATCTTTTATAGGCAATGGGGGGCATTTACAAGACAATTTCATACAGGTCAGATTATAATTTTCATCCTTTGAGGGTTCACAAGGTGTTACAAACTGAAAAAAGAGCCTTAACTCTGGAAGTAATTTACAAAAATTGTAGAAATTCAACAGCATTATTTGTTTTACTAATCTAAATAATGCATATAAATTTCATAGATATTGGATGATGACTTGTCGTTCGAGCATTCACATTGTTTAACAAAGTAAAACAAGGCCCATAGCATGAGAAGTAATTCTTGGAAATTGCTGAAAGTTAAAATAAGGCAATAACTCTCGAAGTAATTATTGGAAATTTCTGAGATTCAATAGGCTTCTTTGTTTTACTAATTTATATAATGCGTAAGAATTTCATACGTCATTCGAGTGTTCACAAGGTTCAATAAAATGAAACAAGGGTCAGAACTCTAGACGTAATCAATGGAAATTGCTGAAATTCAATAGCAGGGTGTGCACAACTCAGAACACTTAAAATTCCAAGAGTTTTCCAGGAGCTATTTACCAGATTTTTTACGCTTGAAGAACATTTACGTCCATGAACTCTTCAACTTTTGAAGAAACATGTGCTGACTACGTTCAGTTTTATATTTTAAAATATATAGCGAATCCAGAATGAGTTTCAAGGAGTAATCTTGTTTTTCCAGGATTTCCCAGTACTGGAAATCACATTTTCATTTTTCCTGGATTTTCAATGAGTTTCAAGGATTTTGCGAACCTTGAAAAGGCTTCACTAATTTAAATAATTCATATAAATTTCATAGAGAACGGGTGATAACTTTTGTCGTTAGAGCATTCACAGGGTTCAACAAAGCGAAACAATGGCCATAACTCTTGACCTAATTAACAGAAATTACTGAAATTCAATAGACTTCTATATTTCACTAATCTAAATAATGCATATAAATATCATACATGATAAATTTTGCTGTTAGAGTGTTCACAGGGTTCGACAAAGTGAAACAAGGTCCATAATTCTAGTAGTAATTAACGGAAATTGATGAAATTCAAAGGGCTTCTTCATTTCACTAATTTAAAGGATGTACATAAATTTCATACAGATCTGATTATAATGAAGGTGCAATAAAGTGAAACAAGGGCCACAATTCCAGAAGTAATAAACGGATATTATTGAAATTAAACAGGCTTCTTCATCTCACTAAAGTAAACAACATACATCAATTTCAAAACAATTAGATGATAAATGTAGCCTGTAGAGTGTTCACAAAAAAATGTGGACGATGGACAGAGGCGACAACAATATACAACCACATTTCTATGTGGGCGTATAAAAACTTGGTTGGACTGTTCATTGTATCCCAAAGGGGAACTCCTTAAATTATAAATCACAGAGTTATCCCTCTGCTTACATTCTAATTTATTAAACCTTTTGAGTGTTTATAAAATTCTTGAATGCACTCCCATTTTTACTTTTAAAGACTGGGACATAAATCTTATGAATGTGCTACAGGACTGACTTCCTAAGTTTTTTCTACAATAATAATTATAACAAAAAATCCTGTGGGGTTTATAAAATTTCATAATCATATATTTCAAATGCACTTCCATTTTTAATATTAAATCCTGGGACATAGTTTATAATGTTGTTTTTTTTTTTCTTTTAAAGCTTTCTTGGCAGAAATGTGATATGTGGACTTAGAACTTATCAATGGTAATATAATACTAATGAAGCTATAGAATGTAATACTAGTAATAGCATGTATCAAGCCTATAATTACTCCACTGATAAAGATATTTACATATGCCGAAATTTATACTTCTCTTACATACAGAGTGAGATAATGTCAGTTTATCAGCTCAAGGAGGTGATAGCACCACTATTTACAATTAGTTATCAAATCATTATTATCATCATAAGACAATGACTAGGGTTTCTCCTTAACATAATCAAATAATCTGTGATGAATACGCCCAGCAAATGAATTTTCACTGACTGTTGCATCATAAACAAGCAAATGATAAAACTTCTCAGATCAGATTTACAAATATTCTGACTATTTAATGGAACTAAAATAAATAATTGTCACATTTGTCTACATTTTTGGATATTAACAAAACACATCAAATTAGATTTTTACAGAATATTTGTCACAAAAATTCTACTGAGCTAAATCATGTCAAATATTAGTTTATATGCTTTTCAAACATCAATATTGTTGGCATTATTTCATTAGTAAAGATAGGTTGCCAAACAATAAAACATACACCCACAGCAGCAAAATAGTCCTAGCAGCCAACAAGTGTTACCACAGTTTATTGTTTTGTAGGTAATGAGAGCATTTACAAGACACTTAATACAGATTGTCCATGATATCTTGTGGTTAACGGTTCACTAGGCTCTACAAAGTGAAACAAAGGTCATAACTCTTAAATTGATTAACAGAATTTGTTGAAATTCAATAGGATTCTTTGACCTGTTGATTAAATAATCCATATCAATTTCATAAAGATCGGATAACGAGTTTTGTGATTGAGCGGTCACATGGTTCTACACAGTGAAACAACGTCCATAACGCAAAAACCAATTAACAGAATTTGTTGAAATTCAATAGGATTCTTCGATCTGCTGATTAAATAATCCATATCAATTTCATACAGATCGGATAACGAGTTTTGTGATTGAGCAGTCACATGGTTCTACACAGTCAAACAACGTCCATAACACAAAAACTAATTAACAGAATTTGTTGAAATTCAATAGATAGGCTTCTTTGTTTCACCAATCTAAGCGTTGACTACAAAGTGAAACAAGGGCCATAACTCTAGAAGTAAAAAATAGAAATTGCTCAAATTCAATAGAAATGAAATGGTGTTTAACATCCTACTGTTCTACTCCAACTGGGCTAATGAAGAAGAGCAAATTCAATAGGCTCTTTCATCTCACTAATGTTAACAACATATACACTTTAAAAAGATCGGATGATAAATGTGGTCTATAGAGTGTTCACAGACAAAGGCCACTTTAATATATGACCACATTTCCATGTGGGCGTATAAAAACCAGGTATGAGTTTATCATGAGTATGGTAAAAAAGAAAATTTGGAATATAATAAAAGAGAATTGAAAAAGAAAATAGATGAAATGTGGGTGCTTATCTGGTAAATAAAGACAGTTATTCCCTCTTTTTTTATCTATTATTAGGATTAAGCAATAAATAATACAAAATATTAATAAGTAGGGCTACTGGTAAGCTTATTTTAATTTCATTCTATTTTTATACTTCTTTATGCTATAAAATTTAAAACATTCTTAGCAAAGACCTGGTCATGCTTGGAGTGTTTTCATCTTAGGCCATTTACATGTACAAGGTAATAAAAGTAAACAGTTTGGGTTTTTTTAGAACTATCACATGATAGACTGCACTGTACATTCTATTCAATGTGTCAGATGACCTGAAAAAATTTATATATGTACGATCACAGGTTTAACCCACTTTTGAACAATACTTCAAATCATGTGATCTTATCTTTAAGAATCAATATCACATGACAAGAAATACATTATATGTCTGCTACCACTGTGTTTCCAAAATCCCAATTTTTCAAACACAATAATGCCATCAAAATATGGTAAAATTCCACTATTCATCACCCCTGTTCTCAGGCTATTTTGGAACCCTTACCTTCTATTTTTCACTGTGATTCTTTATTTTTCTCAAAAGAAAGTTTTCCTCACCATATCTGACACAGATTTATAATAATCCAACAATAGTTTCAAGTAGAATTTAGCAATTAAATAAACATGCAGTCTGTGCATGTTCAAGTCTCGTAATGGCTGATCAGTTCAAACGTATTTTGTGTATGTTTTTAATCGCAAAATTCTACTTGAAAATAGTGTTGAATTACTATAAATGTGTATCAGCCAGCTGTGGCAAGAAATAATTCTTTTGGCAAACAACGAAGAATCATGGTGAAAAAAAGTTGTTAAGTATTCCAAAATATACACGAGAGGTGGGGGATGAGTAGTATTTTCATATTGCAGCTACCGTTATATAGGAAGGGATAGGAACATGCACTAATTAATCAATGGGAGATTCCTAAAAATTGACCAATCTACAATATTTATGATTACAACCCACTACAGGCCTGTAGCTAGCCCAAAATTGTTGGGGGGGGGGGGTTCCAAGGCTTCTGGGGACGCCGATGTACCTACACTTGAAGGTCAACAATGAACAGTACCGTGGACACGTATCCCTTCGGAGAAGAGTCCAGGGTGCTCTCCTGCCAGAAAAATGTTGGAAAACAGGGTTTGCACCTGAAAATGACGGAAGATTTCAATGTTGAGACTGAATTTGCGACATTGGTGTATTATATTTTGATATGAACATTATAAAAGGTTGAAGTAAGGAATACGACTTTAACGTACCTATAATAATTTATGAGAAAGCCGAAAAGTTTGTTTGAATTTTGAAAATTATCACGCCGTTTTGGACACCCAATTCATTCGTGTGCGCTTAACAATCTCACTCTGCATTATGGGCGTCCTAACAATTATATTATGAGCGCCCATGATCTCGTTGTGGGCAACCCACCAATCTCAGCATTATAGGCCACCCACCGCACTATAGGCGATCCTAAGGGATGAGGCACCCCATCAATCATGCCGTTTTGGGGGCCAAACCAATCTTACTCCGCATAATGCATTATGTGTGGCCCGACAATCATATATTGTCATTATAAGGTGCCCCACTAATCATGTCATTATGGGTGCCCCTCCGGGATAAGGCACCCCACAGATCAAGCCGTTTTGGGCGCCCCATCAACAGGCATTGATATTTCCGCCCACATGTGCAAGGTGTGCGCAGGCACAATTGCTTTAAAAAAAAAATTTGCAGGCACATTTTTAAAGATGTAGCCACCCCGGCGGCGCCTGCGCCCGGCACTATTTTTTGCCGCCCAGCACAAAGAAAAAATCGAAGAAAGTCGCCCAGTCGTATTTAAACCCCTTCGTCCTTCTCTGTACACAAACTCGGCGCTCAAAATTTACCACGGCAATTAAACGGCAAAGCCATGGTAAAAGCCGATGTACGCAAACCATGTCTGTCACGGCATAATTTATTTTTGTGTGCCGTAGTAGACCCTATCATCCCAAATTAGTTTAAAGAAAGATGTATTGGTATTTTGATTATTTATACTTAGAAGATGTGTAGGCCCAGGTATATTCATTTTACAATTATTCTACGGTCTTTATATTTGTTTATTTGCCGTAAATAGGTCACCCAGACCAATTTACGGTAATTGTCCAACACGTGCCTGCAAATTTTCATGATGTTTCTTATTTTATTTCTTACCTGTGTTGACCGTGGATTTGCTACGGCCCGAGAGTAGGACTAGGAGGACGATGAGAGCTTTCTCAGTTTCTGCCTGACCTGATTCTCATTCCACCGTAATAATAATAATATTCGTGAGACACGTACAACAACTTTACAAACAAGTCAAATAATACAACGTGTTTTAATTATCAATATCTACCTGTTTTAACACCGTTTTAAGAATCGTTTTAATTTTTAATCTCAAAGTAATAAAGTAATATTTGAAAAAAAAATCCAACAAAACAACAAATACCGAAAGGTCCTCAACTATCCAGAGAAACAGAGTGGGGTGGGACAATTTTATGCTTGGTCGGGTGGTGTCAAAAAGTTTTTAGATCCCTGTATCATTGATGAAAATTAAGTGAATTTGGTAAAATTTGAATATATAAATGGAAATTTGATTTGCACTGAACCAAATACAAAAGGCAGCAGATGCTCTGAAAATACACCAAGAAGGGTTTAATTTTCATAAAAGACCACGCCCCCCTCCCAAAAAATTTTGGGACTCGCTTCGCTCGCCAGATATATTTATACACCACTCACCAAATCATGGCTACATCCCTGTGTTTCAGTATGACCCTGCAGGCACATTTTCAAGTGTGTGCGCAGGCACACTCAACTTTTATAGAGCCCTGCCCATCAATCAAGTTGTGGTGTCAATCATGTGAGTCATTATCAGGCATACTGTGCGCCTCTCTCACCTACTATTATTATATGATATGGATAAATATGTTTTTGATAAGAAAATATTAAAATTTTATACATGATCTTTCAATTAATTTGTGGTATGAAACAGTTCTATTTCAGAGGGATGAAACAACCCATGTAAATTTGGGTGAAAGTTGCGAAACAGTTTTCGGATGAAACGAAGCTGCTCCCATAGTCACTACTAATAGTACTAAGTCAAAGTGGCCATAGGGGGAGGAGTGCCCCAAATTTTAAGAAATGCTACATGTAATGCTACATGTATCTTGAGATTTAAAAACATTTACAACTTATTTCCACCATTTGGATAGATTAGAATCATAAAAATATGAATGTGCACGGGTTGTAAGTAACCGTGGATCACTGGATCTAATTTATCGAATATTAAATAAAAGAACTAATATAGATCCAATGGTTGAAATTCGCGTAAATACCGTACCTGATGTCTGTAGTTGTAAAAACCAGATGACCCTGCAACCAGAAGAGCCCAATGTTTACCCTCATCATTTGGTTTCTGTTCGAAGAATTCTACAAAATTGTTGTCATTAAAACTATAGGCAGTCACAGCCAGAAGACTTAAGCAGACAATAATTCTAAGACACATGATCACGTTTGACGTTTAGTTTGGTTTCCCTGATTATGATCTGGTAATTTCTGCACGTGACCAAGTCTTTATTTACAATATTCTCTAACGAATCACTACGCCTACGCCATCAACTGAATTTCTTGCTTATGTTCTTGATTATGGAATTTAGTAAATGTTAGTAAACCGTTGTACATATTTATATAATTATTTAAGTTTGCTTAATTTCTTTCAGTCCCTTAGCAATAGTCCTGCAAAAACTGGATAAGCAGCGGTCCTATTTTCTTAGCGTAGTGGCCAATATAAGAGAAAGGTCTAAGGTCATGGAGTTCAAAGTTGAACCAAGACTGACCGCTATTTATCTCGACCGCTGACACAGAATAAAAATAATACCTTGTGCCGCTGATAACAAAGGGCGCCGATAACAAATGATCTGATTGATTTGATCAGATGATGATGTAGGCCTACTCGCACGATATGTTTTTAAAAATTGGAATAACAATGAACTATGGCTACATGCGTGTTATAACTACGGTACTTATATAGTCACATTGTCATTGACAGAGGCCTATTGAAAATAAGAAAAAAAAAAGCTAGATACTATTGGAGAACAAACGTCATCGAACATACGGAATAATAGGTTATTTCGAATGAAACATTCCTCCTAATTGTCATATCAAACAGTTTCATCACATTATAACCACTTTTTTCTCTGTAATCGATCATCTCCCTTCGTCGATGTTTCTTTAGCTCAGAAATTGAAGAAATAGAAAAGCGCGGGAAAATATATCGGCGGCCGACATCAATGGATACCAAGAATGAGTAGGATTTTCAGTTTAAAAATACCTTTATAGAACCAGCACTAACTTCTGCCTTTAATATTAGAATTGATTTCCACTGACAAATGTCAGTGATGCAGGATGGAGGGCATGACAAGAACGAAAAACCGAGGTCCCGTGTACACATTGGCATGCACGTAAAAGATCCCTTGGCAGTTGGAATTCGAGAATAGGCCGTAGCGCCGCTGCCCGGGCATAATTTCCCTCATATGCCCATCTTCATTAGCCCAGGTTATGAGCAGAACAGTAGGATGTTAAACCCCATTTCATTTCATTTCCACTGACAAATTATCCTGCAGGCCCAGATTAAAGGGGCCCCAAATTAGTTTCAAAAACTAATTAGGTACCATAAATAAAGATGTGTATGTTATTTGTGCCAAATAAATCTATCTACCCCGTGATGAACAATGACCAGAATAGCCATATGCCCCTTTTCACTGTTGATCATGATGCAAGGGCCCTAACTGTTACATTTTCAGCTTAACCGGGCCCTGTCATCCTGTCTAATGCTCGTAGTTCCTGGTAGATATTATCATAGTGAGTATATAATGACAATAATCAGTAATGTTAAATTTATTTCTTAATCTCTTCTACAGGGAAGTGGAGATAGACATTAATAAAAGATCATACCCAGCAATAGTTACTGTATGTAACACTGTAAAACCTAATTGCGGTTTTATTTTAACACATGGTGCTGGTGGAGATATGAACACTAAACAATTGATATTATTTAGTGATCATCTGGCAAAGCATGGTTTCCTGGTATTAAGATTTACTTGTAAAGGACTAAATTTAACATACAGAAACAAAGTTTATTTAGGAGTCTTGGTATGAATTATTATTGCTGTTATATATATGGGGAAATATCTTTGTCTTAATGGGGACCATCAAAAGGGGATTTAACTTTATAAGTTGGAAGGAACTAAAATCTGTGAGTTCAAAATATCATCAGCAGCCAACAAACAAAACAAAATTGATGAAATCCGAAGGCTTATATGAGATACATAACTTGGTTTATTTTGCTACATTATATTATAGATTAAAAAAAAATTATTTACAGTATTAGCAAACTGAAAATTTTAATTTAGTTTAATCTGGGAAATCCTGTGGCCGCTATTATTAATCTTTATTCTGGCATGCTGTGGCTCGACTTTTATATTATTAATAATTAATGTAGGTTTATTCATATTATATTTGTTTTCCTCCAGAAATATCTACATGAATCAGACTATGGTTTACAGCACTGTATTCTTGCAGGTAAGGCTTGATTTTCTTTAAACCCAAATTCTTTTTTTTCATCTGATTTGGACAATTTGTATCTAGAAAATTTTTGAAATTTTGTTTTCTTCACAGGTCGCTCAATGGGATCAAGATCTGCAGTAGATGTTGCTAATCAAATTACTGATACTGAATTCCACACATTTGTAAAAGGAGTAGTCTGCATTTCGTATCCTCTTTACCAACCAAAACAAAAAGATAAACTAAGAGATGTACCTTTGAAGGAATTAAAATTGCCCATTTTATTCATCGGCGGATTAGAGGATGAAATGTGCGAACAAGAACTTTTGATTAAAACTGTATCAAATCTTGAAAAGAAAGATTTTCTGTGGATTAAAGGGGCTGCACATAGTCTTGAAGGAAAGGGTATTGTTCTTGAAGATACAGTTCAAAAGTCAACAGAAACAATTCAGTCATGGTACCATGACATTGTGATGGAAGACAAAACAAAGACGGATGTCGTCGGCAAAAGAAAAAATGAAAGGGACATGGCTACCACATGTACAAAGAAGAAAAAATAAAGATTTGTACAAACTCATACTTGTCTTAATGTTTTCTTAAACTTTCAAGATGCCTCCTTTGAAATGCCACACAAAATTAAAACATAGCCATGCAAATACACCCACACATCAGTTTTGTCTCGAAAAAATAAACAATGTTTTTGGAAATTTGGAGGTGGGGGGGGGGGGTGCAACTCCAGAGCAGGTCTCAAAATGGCTGGGACAATAAAAATTTAAAAAGAGCATCGTTAACGCTGCAATATACGTCCACATTCCTGTTTTGATTGATATGGTACTTTTTAAAATGAAGAGAATGAATTAATATGAAATGGCTGTAATATGATAAGAGGCAAAGAAGGCTAGGTGTTGTGTTTGTTTTGCCAAATTTACAGACAAAATATTAACAAAAAAGTTGATGTGACACTGCCTTGGGGGGTCGGGGCATGCACCAAAATAAATAGTTGCTGTCTTTACAGTATAAGGAATAAATATGCAAAGTTCCAAGATGATCCATTCAGAATTGCAGCCTGTAGACGATAAATACAAAAATTGGACGGGGTTCTGCCCCTGGGGGTTGGATATGGAACAATATAAATAGGTACCACCCTTGTATTGAAATGATCGATAAGCTGAATTTGTAAAAAATCTGTTAATTATTGCAACCTGTAAAGTATTTACCGATAAAAACTAACAAAAAAGTGAGTGTGGTACCACTCCCCTGGGGGTCGGGACATGCACCAAAATAAATAGTTGCTATCCTTACAGTATAAGGAATAGATATGCCAAGTTCCAATATGATCCATTTAGAATTCCAGCTAAATACAAAAATTGGGCGCGGCTCTGCTCCTGGGGGTTCGACATGAACCAATATAGGTACGGATCATTCCGAATTGGATCCAAATCTGTTAATGATTGCAACCTGTATATAATTTGCAGACAAAATATCAACAAAAAGAGGGTGTGGCACCAACGAAAGGGCAGGAGGTGGGGTGGAGTGGAGGAGGGGGTCGTGCACCAACATCAATAGTTGCCGTCCTTAGGGTATAAGGAATAAGTATACCAAGTTCCAAGATAATCCATTCAGAATTTTGGCCTTCGGGCGCTAAAGGCAAAAATTGGGCATGACTCTGCCCCTGGGGGTCAGGGCATACACCAATATCAATGGTTGACGCCCTTAGGCTATAAGGAATACATACATGTATGCCAAGTACCAAGTTGATCCATTCAGAATTGCAGCCTGTAATGATAAACACAAAAGTTGGGCGTGCCTCTGCCACTGGGGTTCAGGACATGCAGTTGTGGTCCTTAGGCTATAGGGATTACATATCCCAAGTTCAAAGACGATCTATTAAGAATCGTGGCATGTAGGCAACACACAGAGACACAAAGAAAAAATGGGTGTGGCTCTGCCCCTGAGGGTTGGGCAATCACCAAAATAAATAGTTGCTATCCTTACAGTATAACGAATAAATATGCCAAGTTCCAATATGATCCATTTAGAATTCCAGCTAAATACAAAAATTGGGCGTGGCTCTGCTCCTGGGGGTTAGGCATGGACCAATATAGGTACAGATCATTCCGAATTGGATCCAAATCTGTTAATAATTGCAACCTGTATATCATTTGCAGACAAAATGTCAACAAAAAGTGGGTGTGCCCCGACGAAAGGGCAGGAGGTGGGGTGGAGTGGAGGAGGGGGTCGTGCACCAACATCAATAGTTGTCGCCCTTAGGGTATAAGGAATAAGTATACCAAGTTCCAAGATAATCCATTCAGAATTATGGCCTTCGGGCGCTAAAGGCAAAAATTGGGCATGACTCTGCCCCTGGGGGTCAGGGCATACACCAAAATCAATGGTTGACACCCTTAGGCTATAAGGAATACATACATGTATGCCAAGTACCAAGTTGATCCATTCAGAATTGCGGCCTGTAAACGATAAACACAAAAGTTGGGCGTGCCTCTGCCACTGGGGTTCGGGACATGCAGTTGTGGTCCTTAGGCTATAAGGAATACATATCCCAAGTTCAAAGATGATCTATTAAGGATCGTGGCATGTAGGCAACACACAGAGACACAAAGAAAAAATGGGTGTGGCTCTGCCCCTGGGGGTTGGGCAATCACCAAAAAACAATAGGGGTCATCCTTAGGGTATAAGGAATAGGTATACAAAGTTTCAAAAGGATCTGTTAAGAATTGCGGCTTGTAGGCGAAACACAAGACACACAAACATTGGGCATGGCTCTGTCCCAGGGGGTGGGGCATGCACCAAAAATAATAGAGGTAAGCCTTAGGGTATAAAGAATAAGTATAACCAGCGGCTGCCAGGCAGGATACGCCCACATTTTCGAGAGATGGATAGAGAACAAGCTAACAAGAAAGTGATTTTTCCTACTATCAAGGGCCATAATTCAGGAAATTACAATTCAATATGCGAGAATATTGAAAGGAACTAAGATCTTTGTGTTATATACTTACATTTTAAGTTTCAACAAAATCGGATAAAAATTGTGACGTCTATAGGGTCCACAACCTTGATATACTTTAATTTTACGTTATTTGAGAACGAATGGTGGCCATTTTGTCTGTCATTGTCTGTAACAGTGATATAATAATACAGTTTTTTAAATCGGATAAAAATTATGATTTCTATAGGGTCCACAAGCTAAAAATGCCATTTTTCGTACAATCAGGGGCCATAATTCAGGAAGTTATGGTCTGATATGCGCGAATATCGAAAGGAACCGAAATCTTTGGGTTATAAACTTACATTTCAAGTTTCAACAAAATCGGATAAAAATTGTGATCTCTATAGGGTCCACAACCTTGATTTACCATATTCTTACCATTTTGTCTGTCAATTTTGGGCCGATTTTCACTAAATTCGAACTCAGTCGTTCTTAGGGTGTAACAGTGATATAATAATACAGGTTTTTAAATCGGATAAAAATTATGACTTCTATAGGGTCCACAAGCTAAAAACGCGATTTTTCGTACAATCAGGGGCCATAATTCAGGAAGTTATGGTCCGATATGCGCGAATATCAAAAGGAACCGAGATCTTTGGGTTATAAACTTACACTTCAAGTTTCAACAAAATTGGATAAAAATTGTGACCTCTATAGGGTCCACAAGCTAAAAACGTGATTTTTCGTACAAACAGGGGCCATAATCCATGAAGTTTCAATCCGATACATGCCAATATCGAAAGCAGCCGAGATCTTTTGGAGATAAACCTATATTTCAAGTTTCGTCAAAATCGGATAAGAATTGTGACCTCTAGAGTGTCCACAAACAAATTGTGGACGGACAGACGGACGGACGGGGGCGACGGCATAATACGTCCACATGAAAATGTGGGCGAATAAAAAAGTTTTCAAGACAATCCACTAAGAATTGCGGGCTGGAAATGACACACAAAAAGAAAATAGGCGGGTCTCTGCCCCCAGGAGTTGGGCATTCACCACAAACAACAAGGAAAATTTTCAAGACGATCGATTAAGAATTGTGGCCTGTAGGTGACACACAGAAAGAAAATGGGCGTTGCTCTGCCCCTGGGGATTGGGCATACACCCCAAATGATAGGGATGTTGATTTAAACAATAGATATTGTATACATACACTGTCAAAAGGTAAGGATTCAAAAACAAGCCAAAGGCTTATATTAATTCATCTCCCTAGGGATGTTCCTTAGGGTACAAACAATAAGTATGGAAAGCTCCAAGATGATATGTTAAGAAATGCAGCCTGTAGACGACAAACAAACCAATACAAGAAATGGGCTGGGGTCGGGTATGCACCAAAAACAATTGGAATTATCCTTAGGATATAAGGAATAAGTATGTAAAGTTTCAAGATGATCACTTAAGAATTGTGACCTGTAGGCGACACACAGACAGGGACGATGGCAATATACGTCCACATTATGAATGTGGATGTATAAAAATAGAATGCAACTCAGTTTAGTTAGATTCATATTACATTACATGTTAATGTTTCAAAGAACAGAGAAAACACCCTTTAAGAGTGTCAAAATAGGGGGCATTTATTATGATTTATTATGTAGACATTTAAAGACAGTTTCCACATTTCAGAATCATTAAGTCACAGCAACTATTCAAAGACCAAACAAGTGGGGGCCAATTAAGAGTTGAGCAATCACTTTGTGAGATATCTATACTCTTGAACTATCTGAATTTAGATAAATTTGTAGAGATCCAAAACCAAACTCACCGAAAAGCATGCCGCAAGCACAATGAGAAAATAGATGTACACAGTGTGTAAAAAGCCTAAATCTTGTAGCATTCACAAATTATGCGAGCCTAAAATCTCAGATCTTCGGAGGTAAATTATTCTACAATTTCCGTCTCCATAATGTTTCAATCTCAATTGTGGAACGACAAGTGTTCTTGTTAAAAAATCTCAAGGATCGATTTAGTAGTTCCATATATAGCAGGGTGCCAGATTTCATGGTTACTGGTATGTGAGGCACAGGATCTTAACGTTAATGTGAGCAGGAATAGGGAGCCAGTGTAAAAAAAATTAGGACAGGAGATATTTTGGTTTATATGATACTTGCAAATGATTTAAACCCATGCAACATATAATACATGTACTCTGGCTGATATACGTTAGATCATAAAGTCTGACATTGAGTAGGGAGCCACGGTGGGTAAACACTGGCTCGCTAGTTTGGAGGTCGTGGGTTGGCTGAGAAAGTTAATTGGGATTTTCCAGTCTGGTTTCCCCTTGTCAGTCAGTGGTTCACGATGGAAGGCCCGACAAGGACAGCTATCTAGTCATTTGGATGGGACAATAAAACGAGGTCCCTGTGTACACATTAGTGTGCACATAAAAGATCCCTTGGCAGTTGGAATTTGATATAAGAGTAGGCTGTAGCGCCGCTGTCCAGGCAAAATTTCCCTCATAGTACACTGCATGGTGTATGTCTGTCTTCATTAGCCCAGTCGGAGCAGAACAGTTGGATGTGAAACCCCATTTCATTTCTGACATTGAGTCAAGTACATGTAGCTTGGTTTGACCACAGTCTTACACATTACAAGGAGTAGGGTTACTTGACTAACCTCATATAGCTAAAAAGACCCCTATGCACAAGCGAATTATTGAAATAAGGATGTTAGTGTGGATAACCTAGATTGTGTTAAATGGACATTTAAATAAATTTCCAGTTTTCTCTCCATTCTGGTGCTAAAACATCACAGAAATGTTATGATAGTGTACAACTAAATTAATAATTGACTGCTGAATTCTTTGTATGTCAGATTATTGGTATCTCTGACAAATTGTTTGTTGAAATAAGGTTGTCTGGCAGAAAAGTCCTAAAAAATTGATTTCAACAGTTATCAGTGGTAGAACTGAATAATAATAATAATAAGCAATCTTTTAATAAAGCATTTTCTCACACTGTGTATTGCTTAAAAATGAATTAGCTGTACATGTACACATAATATCATTTTATACATTCATTGAAAAATAAATACATACAAACCATTTGTTTCAGTGATAAAACTTAGCAAAGTCGTCAACAGAAGCATTAATTTTAATCAAAAATTTTATAAATAATATTAATAACAATTCGTTCAATTGTTTAATCAAATTCTTCCCATTTCTCTAATTCACATAGAAGAAATGATATCTGTTACAGGTCACCTTAGGATATGATAATTTATTTTATGATCAGTAGTGGAATACCGTGTTTTATCAGTGAAATAAAAGTGTTATTCCACTGGCTAGAAGCGGACAAAGTAGTCCATGTTGTTTTTAGCTAAAATGATTGAAAAATCATAAAATAAATAGAACATTTGTCGTTTTGTCGTGAATAACATATTTTATTTCATCTCTAAGCAAGAAAACGTTTATATTTTCACGAATGCGTAGCATTCGTGAAAATATACGTTTTCTTGCTTCTCGATGAAATAAAATATGTTATTCACTCTAAAACAACAAATATCCTCTATATATTTTTTGTTATATTTTCATTAGAACAACTGTTCAATGTGATGAACCACTCCTGACAGTTTACTACAAGGACTAATCCATACCATTCTGTATTTTCAAAATACTTCTATCATCTATTTTTTGGCAACTTTCAAATTGGCATGAGTAATAACCAGTCAGATTGTATGGTGTTTTGCATAAGGATTAAGGTTGCAAAATCTGGACAAATAAGTGTTTTATCCAGGTTTCTATCTTGGAAATTTGAGAGGCTACCAGTTTTAGCATTATCTTAATTTAGAAATCAATTCTTAAGTGTTTTCAGAATAAAAGAAAACTTTAAATTTATCTGTATTTATTATGTTTTTAGATCAAATTCTTGGAAATTTCTATTACTTGACAGGTTTTTCCAGCTGGTCAATTTCACTGCCAATTAAGACTGGTAAATATTACCAACAAAATACTACATAACTGGAAAAAGAGATAAACAATATTGAGGAATATGGCATGAAACTATGTGACATAAAACATTATCTACTTCAAATTTATAACTGACCAACAACTCTCAATTCAAAAGTAATTGGAGTTTACTGACAGCAGATTGTTTTGAGTCTACAAAATTGTCCTCTTATTCAAAAGTCTTGAAAAACCAGTCCCTTTTAACTTTCGTACATCTGGAAAAATTTACAAAAGAGATTTATTTTCATTTATTCATTTTATGATTATTGTCTAGGCAATGAGCACATGTCACATGTAGAAAATCCCGCTTGGTTGATGAATGTACAATGTGCACATGTCCATGGTTCTGAGGTGCCACCTTGTGGTTGAGCTGCCATAGCACCAGATCCATTGTAAGATTGCTGTTGTAAGGATGGGACTGAAGGACTATGTGCTGACATCATTTGTTCCACCGTCGCCCATTCTTCTGTTTTCATAAAATGATGTGCCATATCTTCATCCTTGTTTTTTACAGCTTCCAGCAGCATCCCCATTTTTTCGCGCAGTGGCAACATTTCTGTCTTAGCGAGGTAAATCAGCAGGTGGAAATCTGACATTGCATCTAAGAATTTATCTGGTGCAAACTGTCGTAAATGCTGAACTAAAGCGTTGAAATCCTGAACATCTCCAACCTCCTCTCGGTTCTCAATCACAAATGGTTTGATGTCTTCAGTAACGCGAAATGTAAATTGAGGTTCAACAGGGAAAGCTGCAGGAATTTCGACTAGAAGATATTCTACAGGGAGAGGCCTGGCCAATTGTGTCACTTCATTACCATAATTATCCTTATCCTTGAAGAAAACATCTGGGACGTACTGCTCGTTGCTGGATTCTTTAACATATCCAAGTTCTGGGACATCTTTTGTAGGGATCAAGCAATCATCTCGTACTAAAGCCATGCACTGATTAGATACTTGATAACCTTCAAAATGGATCTGATTATTACTATCACCGGTAACAATTACAGTCACAAATTTAGAACCAAAATGTCCATCAGATGACAGATTGGTAGGACAAGGATTAGGGTAGCGATTTTGAAAATGACCAGCCATTATGCATTCTTCCGCACTTAAAAAATGAGAGTCTACTTTTCCGCGAAAATTTTTCACTGTGCCTTGTTGCAAGCATTCGGCTACTAAATCTGTAAAAATCCAACCAATTGCTTTTAATCCTAATTTCTCAGCTACAGCATTGACAGTATCATTGTTATCTTCCAATAATTCAATTTTGTTCCTAGACGATTTTTGTGGTGGTTCATAGATGGCAGTAATAGTCGCCTTAATCCCAAGTGGGGTATCTTTGAACGGTTCATATCTTCCATAAAGTATGCCACAGTGCTGGTTTCCTGTACTTCTCCAAAAATTTAAAAAGCGATCGGCAATGGAGGCATTTTCAAACATTATGTTATCAACATGGCGATATGTCTGACGTTTTAAAGTGACAGCATTTGGTTGACATTTTGTGCATATTCCGCCTGGCCATGGAGGGTGTTCTTTACATCCAGATTTTATCTTACAACTGATGTTCTCTAGGTTTACAAACTTTCCTTTATCAATGCCGCCTGTTAGTTTACGAATGTATGAATGAAAGGACAGAAATTTGATTGGTGGATCACAACTCTTAAGAAATTCTTCATCATAGGGCTCTAACGGCACACAGTGAAGGCACTTTCCCTGGGGACCATGACGACACAGCTGTTCATTTCTTTTTCTGTAAATTTTTCCATCCGTTTTTTCCAATATTATATCCACCTCATCCAAAACATCGTTAGATGACGAAGCATTTCCTATTTTCAATTCTGACATCACACTTCCATTTTCGGTTTCCATTTTCTGTGAGAGGTCGTCTCGACTTTTACTATTTTTGTCATCAATCATCAAATAAAGCATATCACCATGTTTTACTTTGTAACTATCCATTTTTTTAGATCTTGAAGTTCTGATGACGCCTGTTTTATTTCGTTGTTGGTAGAGATTCCATCCCAAATCGCCCAACTCAAAATCGTGCTGGATTTTATTCAGAAAATCGGCAACAGTTTCAGAAGTCTTTGTTTCAAATCTTCGTGTCCCATGTTCTGCAGACTGAACCCTTACTGTTATAGATTTAGACATTTTTGTTTTGTTTCTATTCAATCCAATTTTAAAATAAAATCGTCTGTTTTCAGAACGCAGCCATGTTTTGACAAGCTAATAATACGCATGGGCACAGCTGATTGCTGTCGCTAAATACGGATTGGTTTTGGACTTCGAAAAGGATGAATCTAAAAGGAGTTTTACATCGTTGAATCAGGAACTAAAAATAGAAACATTATGAATGTTTTATACACAGAATTCTTAAACATTTAACAGATATCTTAACAGAAGTGTTGTCATCTAATTTATTAAATATATCTATTTTTAAAGACACTTCGAGAAAGTATTATTTCTTCCGCGATGCGCAGAGTTATGCCCCTTGCATACATCTCATTGTAAGGAGGAGCTAAAATGGTGGAGTTGTAATTTTAACAACAAATTTATTGAAAGTGATATTTTTTCATGATTATGCAGAAAAGATAAGACTGCAATCTTAATGCAACATATTTTTTGAAAAATCTCCACCATCTGTAACTTTCTGACCCCAGGGATTATTTGCAAACTGCAGATTTAATGTGAAAGGCAGATGTAAAAAAAATAGGTCATTTTGTTTACTTTTTTTTTAATAAATTTAGTCTTTTTTTTGTTAGCAGAAGTTACTAAGCACGGGTGGGAGAAATTGTAAAGAATCATCTATTAAGCCCTAATCATTGGATTGTTCTTGTTTTGTTTTCATTAGTCAAAGACCTTTGATATTGGTGGTGGTAAGTTAACAACTGGCTATCTCTTTGCAGTAGGGAAGCTGTGGTGACTCAGTGGGTAAGATGTTGGCTCGCTAACCTGGAGGTCCCATGTTTGAAGCTGTTGTAGGTTGAAAAGGTTTATCTGGATTTTCCAGCATGGTTCCCCCTTGTTAGTGGTGCATTAGGACAGAGGGCCTGGCAAGGGATGGCGTATATAGTCGTTGGAATAGGACTAAAACAAAGGTTCCATGTACACATTAGCGTGCATATAAAAAAACAACCCTTGGCTGTTGGAATTTGATATAAGAGTAGGCTGTTAGTGCCGCGGTCCAGGCAAAATTTCCCATATAGCACACTGTATGGGTCTTGTGTCTTGGGCTGCACATACAGTCACTTCAAAAGCAAACGAGTGGTACTGTGAAATAGGGAAAAAGACAGTCTTTGTGTATAGATGTGTACCAAAAGCTAAGTGAATTACAAGTATAATAGGAAGGGTTTAGATATTTACTGAAGTTTCAATCACCATCTGGTGTAAATGTGGGGTTTTTTTAGAATTGTACTTGTAGTCTGAAACTTATTGTACAGGTATTAATTATTTTATTTTGAAAACCCAGGTACATGTAACACGATGCCTCCAGTTTTCTCACTTTAAATAATTGGAAAATATGGGGAACTGATTAAATTTCAATCATCCAGTCAATATAGGTTCTTTTTTTTAGAGTAACATTAAAATTCTTATATATTATAGCTGTCTACAGTCCTACATAGTGTGCCACTGATTGAGTTGTCTCCCTGTAATACTTGAAATCAGTAACATTTTTTAGAGTAACATTAAAATTCTTATATATTATAGCTGTCTACAATCCTACACAGTGTGCCACTGATTGGGTTGTCTCCCTGTAATACTTGAAATCAGTACTAAATGAATCTGAACTAAAGAGGTTGCCATTATGTCAGTAGTTCAGTTAAAATGTATGGATGGTGGGAATGTAACTGATGTTCCTGACACTGGTATTACTGTAGTTGGAAGAGGACCATTTTTAGAGGTAAATACATTGAGCTTTAATTATTTACATAATTGATATTGCAGGAGCTACACAATGCCTCTGACGTCAAAGGTATATTTCAAACTTTATTAAACTTTATTGTTTATTACCAGATTCAAGCACATACACAAAAACTATTGATGTTGTTCTTCTGTTGTTTCAGATAAAAGATAGAAGAGTATCTAGAAATCATGCTAATTTAGAAGTAAAAGAAGGAAAATTATATTTAACATCGGTAAGAAGTTGTGTTTAGTAGAACATTAGTTATTTAAAGACAGTTATTGACCATGGATCCAATACCATTATTATGATTAAAGATTGAGGTAATTGTGTTAGTTGGGTGAATGTTCTAATTCGTTATATTTTATGTTTTTGTATTTTACAGATTCATGTGAATCCATGTTTTTATAAAAAAGCTGGTGGAGATGGCATACAGAAAATTTTACATAAAGACGAAGTTTATTGTTTAGAAGAAGGTGATGTGTTCAGTCTTTTACCAGATCAACTTTTCTTTCAAGTTTTATACAGAATAAAACCAGTTAATGGGTGAGTAAATTTATAACAAAATTTGATATATATAGGGAAACATTAATCATCCGAATTAAAGTTGAATCTATAAAAGGGATATCAGTCTGAAAATGATTCAATTCTGTTCAGGACTACTTTTATTGAATGCAGCATGTGTTAGTTGTTTGTTGCTATTAATTAAAGAAATTATTAATTTACTTATTATAGTGATGTTAAGAAGGATGAATTAACTAGTCAAACTAATGGAACAACCTCTACACCAGTTAAAAAAATAGGTAAGACATGCATTAGTTTTCACCAATTGAACAGCATGCTGTTTGAATGATTTAATTGGAAACCGTAAAACGGTAAAAACATATATCACCAGTAAAACATTTTGGAATTTGTCATGGACAACTTTTGTGAACACGATTCTCGTTTTCCACTAGATTAAAAAGGCATTAAGTAAGATTAGATAAAGAGTTGACAGTTCTCGCTTTAATATTTAAAAAATAGATAATGTAAATAGAATATGCTGAAAACTTCAGTCAAATTGCTCCACTCTGAACCAAGATATTAGCTTTTGAATTTTAGGCTAGCCTGATCATCCTTACTAAAGTCGGTACGATAAAAAAGAAAGTGTCAAATATTCATTTCTACGTTTAATTATCCTTCACAAAATGTATTCCAATCCGCTAAATATTGCAGACTAGCGATGGCATCGAGAGTTGATTATGGTCTGGATAAGTTAATTAATGTCTAATTAATAATTTAGGTAACATATCAGGCCTAAAGAAAACATGTAATAGGCAGATTTAGCTCTTGCATAATTTTTGTTAAAATATTTAGCCAATTCATTCTTTGTTCAAAAAATCCCTGTTTATTCTAGATAATATAAATATAAACAGATTACAACAGGATGTAGTATGTTTGTGCTGGGATACTAGAAGCCAACTTGGAAATTATGCTATCCTTATCAATAGTAACTTGGTACTGGTGACGTTTGGGGGTACTCTTGGGCCAATTTTATTAAATTCTAGTTTATTTGTAAATAACGTTTACAGTAGATCCTCAATTTATTTTGTTTTGACAGTAAATGAAGATGTTGACGAAGATTGGGATAAAAGTAGCGGAGATGAAAAACTTACAATTGAAGAGACACCGATGATCGAGGAAAAACCTAAAACAGATGAAAAGCCAAAAATTCAAGCCAATAATAAAAAAGATGATACTAAAAGAGAAATGAAGAAGGAAGAACCACAACAAACAAAAACAACCACCTCATCTAGAGAAACTGTGAGTTTTACTATGGAATATAATTTACATACTGAAATATATTATGTAATACTCAACATTTCAATTGACCAGAAGTGTTTACCTTATGACCAATTTAATTTTAGCCCCCCCCCCCCTTCCCCAGTGTATCTGTCTCTTCATCCATCCACAATTTTTGTAAAAGTCCTGCAGGTCTTTTGTGTGGTTAATTATATCGTAATTCAGTCAGATTTTTTAAAAATTTATCATAAAGAGAAACTCAATGGAAATTGAGACTTGCCTATGGACTTTTTTCATAGTTATTATCCCTGAGATCTTGTAAGCCACCCTTGAAAATTCGTTGATTGGCAATGCTATGTTTGTTCTTGTGTTTAAAGTCACCAGCAGGACCATCCACAGTTACCCCACCTGGTCAGAAAGAGATGGCATTACCTGTTGATAGAAAACGTAAACTACCTGATTGGTTGGTTCAAACGGCTAACTCGGCCCCCACCCCTGGAAAAAAGAAACCTGCACCAAAAGTTACAGCTAATAATAAAAGAGGTTAGTTAATTTTTATATGCCTGGCACCTTACAATCAGAGAGTGATGAAACTTGGTGTATTGTTTCATTCCATCAATACCTTGATTATGTTTGATGTTTTTTGTTACAGTAACAGATATTATTTGTTTTGACCTATTATTGTCATGTCTAATATTAAAGGTGTTGTGCCTTGCTATGTCACATTTATTAAGATTTTTTTATAAAGTTGCACAAAACCGTTGTTTACAAACAGATTTTGATGGAACTTTCAAAAGAAACAGAAAATGACCCATTTAATCATGTGGCATCACAAATTTACCTGATTTCAAAGTTTTGTTCTTTTCTGACGTCACTTTAACAAAAATCTAGGTCAAATATTAAAATGCTAATCCCTACGATCGATTGCTAATTGTGAATTGTTTCCTAAAATATAAAAATATTTAAAATTTGATAATAATTATTTTAGGAGATAGATTTTAAAGAGCAATTTTAGTAGCCTGGAGAAGTAATTTATTACTCTTTTTTTTTTTATCAATAATTCATTTCACAATACCTATTTTTATCAGATATTAGATGAGCATTATATGACTTTCAGGAACTTTAACCCTTTCAATGCTAGACGTAAATCCACTGCCTGTGCTAGACCCTTTTTTGAGGAAAAAAGTGAGTTTGGAACTAAATGCCAAACAGTACTTATGGAAGCTTTTATGAAAATTATTTTTGTGTGTTTGGATGGGCATAATGTTGGGCTAAGAGAAGAAAAAAATAGAATTTTGGAAATTTGCATAATCATGTAGTCACGTGACGTCATGGCGGCCATTTTGGATTTTTCATTTCTCACTAAAGCTAACCCGAAAACGAATTTTTCTCCATGAAATACTTATGGGATATTGTTTTTTCCACACGATTTTGATAAAGATATATAATAGCAGCCATGAGCAATGCCACCACGAACACGCACAACACGTCTCCCGCTGCCATGACCACGTGCGGATTGCAATACCTTGTTTTTACTTTCACTTTCATCCTCAAGTCCCATATCATTATCACTATAGTCAGTCAATAGATCTACATGTTCGGGACTCAGGAATTTCCTTCGTTTTATATGATCCAGCAGGCCAGCATTATTATCAACATCAGAATTATCCTCAGAATCTACTAAAGACATACTACATACATGTAGGGCTATTATGTTCACACTGGGCTTGTTCATCATGCACGGGAGACATAGCCATAGGCGGAAGATCGCGCAAGAAATCACGCACTTCATACTACCAATCACTGTCCTGACTACTATTATTATCAACTAACTGGAAACGAATTATGTGTATCAGTACCCGCCTCGAAATTGTCCACACTGTCTTGGTCAGCGAAGATGCCATTCATGACTTCGCCGAGATTGCATCGTCTGCGTTGTAACTATGCACTCTGCCATTTTACGGTTTGCCGCTTTGAAACACGTGGAAATATGTTCTAGTGCATAGAAAATACAATAGATGGCACTTGCATCTACGGTGCTAATTTTAGCGAGGGCCATACTGAGTACCCGGTAATACCGGGTACGCGCATTTTAACGACATTTTATTATACCCGGTAGTACCGGGTAGACGCAATGAAAGGGTTAAAAGGTGTTCATCTCCACTTAATCTCTGTTGACACATAATCTTGTTGTTCATGTATGATTACATTGTCACTTTGTAAAGTGCCCCTGAACATGTTATATGAAAGGGCGCACTATAAATAATAATAATAATAATAATATACCAGAATCCTCCTCTTTTCTTGCAGGTGATGGTCAGTTGTTAGCTTCATTAACTTGAGTATGCTGTGATCTTGCTGAATACCATGGCAAAATCATCAAGCGATCCAAACTCATATTGTTATATATTCCAGATTTTGTTATATGTTTCAGAGCCAAGAACAGCAGCAGTTATTGCCTCCATTAAACAGGAAGAGTCTATTACTGAAGAGGATGATGAGGAGATTATGCCAGTTAAGAAAAAGAGTAGGTTTTTTATGTTTTCTATGTGACAATGTTCAAGAAGTGATTTACCTCTCCCATTTTTTTAAGCCAATTTTTCCCCTTTTTGGTGAGAAATGGAGAAAATGAACGGCGATTAGTATCTAGAAAAATTATTTTTGAGGTGAAATGCTCAAAGGTTATAACCAAACTACGGACTCATTTTGGTTTACAAAAAGTAGACAGCATTTATTATTGTTTTGTATCACTGTTTATAAAATGATTTACCACCCTTGGTTAGAACTATGACCTGCATTATCTTGGAAAAGTAATTTTAAAATTTAATGTGAAAATCTTCCTCTGGAAGTACTTGCAACAACCAGGTCTTTGACTGGATATTTTCTCAAAATTTGTGCCATATATATCTAAGAATGACCGTACATTTCCCTATTTTATTTATTTACAGGAGGACGACCAGCACCAAGAAAAAAACCTATTGAAGATTCTGTTAGTGAAGAAGAAGATGAAAAGCCAATCCAGAAGACATCAAAAGGTAAAGCTGTCCGCACACTAACACCAGGAACACGGACACCTAGACGAAAAGATAGATATGCTGACGATGACGATGATGATGATGACGATGAAGAAGATGATGATATGCCAAGTAGAAGGAAACCAAAAGCAATTCCACGTCGAACTGCTCGTCCTCCAACTCCAGAGTCATTCACTCCTGTGAAGCGCCCAGTACGAGCTGCCAAATATGCCCGTGGTAGTTACGGTAGGTAATACTTTGATGTTCAGTCTGATTGAAATGAAATGGTTAAGAAAAACCTGGTAATTTCTGTCAGATATTTTGCTTCACATTCATATATTTATTCCCACATTTTTTTTTCGATTCTCTGGACTACACAATTTTAGTTTAAAGGAGCTAAACCTCTAACTCAATATTTTCCATAATATTTGAAATTAAAAACGCGAATAGGAATCCAAGTTTGCTCAATTTTAATCAATATTGATGTTGTTATCTTATCGTGAAAATATGGGATCCAAATATCCACTATTTAAAATCACTACATGAGTTGTGTATTCTATGTATATAATTGTTTCGAGCATATCAAAGACAAAATGGAAGTAATTGAAAATGGCTGAATCACAAACGACAGTTAGAAAATACAATAAAATGTTTTAAAAAAGGGTGTATATCACTTTATATACACTCATGTTACATTAATATGTGCTTTTAGACCCATTTTCATCCATTTTAAGGTTCAAAAGAATAGAGCTCTATACTCACATTAACACACAGATAGCGTGTGTCACTATAAATAAAAATCTCCAACTGTTATGACAATTATACCACAATATTTATATATATATATATATAACAACTCTTAACTTAGTTTCTCACATTTATAGTAACTAATTAATCGGTCGTGTTGTATTTAATAAGTTATAACCATTTAAACATCAATAAAAAAAATAGAATGAAAAGGTAAACTACATCTGGACATTTTTGACTGCAAAATAGGTTATGTGCCAAGGATTTGAAATTAGTCTCGCTAAACCAGTCTACTGACCGTTCTCTGTTTGATTGACAGGCCGGGATAATCAAGACTTTTTACGAAACATTACAGAAAGCTAGATCAATAAATCTAATTTCTTAACTCATTCGTTAGGCAACTCAACAATTATTTTGAAAACAAAAGGAAAATACTAATAGTATTTTATTCATGCCTAATGAAGGAGCTTTGTAGATATTAATTGTACTAAACCAAAAGATGCCGCTCCTAACGTTATAGTTAATGATAAAGCAAATTAAAAAATTAAATGAACATAGTTTTTTAAAGCTGCTGTAGCGACCAAAAAGCTAAATATTAGTGTTATTCAGAATCGTTAACAATAGATTTTTTACGGCTTTAATAGTTGATAGATGTGTAGAAAATGTCACATGCAGTGGCTATTTATAGCCTAATAGAATCTACTCTGGGTTACGCACGTGGTCCTTGTCTGCTCTGTAATCACTTGGCAACTTGACATTATAGCTTGTGAACAGTTGCTGTGGTGAGCTCAACTTTTAATAGAACAGATTTTGACAGCGAGGGGCACCATAACATCGAAATTTCATTGCCAATTCACTTACTATTTTCAATAAATCTAAGTTTGTTTCAGATATGATAATTTCTTTTGAATTGCTAGAAGACCAAATTAAATCATTTACAAAGCTTGTCATGTGACCATATAATTATTATGCACTTTCACATCTTAGCAGTAGACAGTTAAAGTTACTTATTTCCTTTTCTTAAAGATACATTATGTATGAGCTATTGCGGGTCTTAAATGTTATATAAATTACATAATCATTGATGGTTGTGATTTTGAAGGGATTAAAAAACTGATCACCATTTAATAACCTAATTAAACGATGGATAACTGAAACTTTGTTTATTATATTAACAAGGGTAGCAATGAAAATCAAGACTGCACAATTCAAACATTCATAACATTGATCAGAATGAAGTATTTTGACTGAAATTTTCAATATATCTATTTTTTATTATCTATTTTTTACTATTATAGCAAGAACTGACAGCTCTTTATCTAAATCTGACATAACACATCTCTAAGATATAAACTCATATGTCTGCACATGTTTTTCTAATCCTGCATACATAAATGCTTATAATTTATGCTTTTACATAACAGAACTTAACAACAATGTACATTTTTTGTCTGTCTGTAACCTGTATGTCACATGTGTATTATAATAATTGGTTGAGGATGTTGGGTAAGGAGATAAGCTTGTTGCTATGCACGTGTCTGTTGGTAGTTAATATATTTTACATATGTACCGATCTTAACTAACCTTCAGTCGAAAGAAAATGCCAGTTATCTCCCCACATAATATACTAACTTGATAGATTTTTGTCTTTTGTTTTCTAAGACTAGACTGAAGAAGCAGAAATCAGATCTGAAACAGATTTTTACATAATGATTGAATGTTGCATGCAACTGATGGAAAGAGACTATAATTTTTGTTTGCAATTAAAAAACAGGGTTGGCCATCTAATAGTCTAGATGCTTCGTTCTAGTAAATCAGAGCATACATTCCTTTGGTGGTTTGGGCAATTGGGCAAAACAAACCCACCGTTTTTATACGCACATATTGAAATGTGGTTGTATATTGTCGTGGGGCCCCTCAGTCGGTCTCTCTGGCGTTCACAAGCAATTGTGGACGCTCTAGAGGCTAAAGTTAATATCTGATTGACTTTAAATTTATACACAGTGTTTAAGGTCATGAGACGAAGAAGCCTATTGGTTTTAAACAATTTTCGATAATTACTACCAGAGTTATGGCCCTTGATCGCTTGAGAAATCTTGTGGCTGTTCTAGAGGCTGAGGTCAATATCAATTTATACACAGTATTTAAGCTCATGACATACACAATCGAAACAAATTCTAATGATTTCTGATAATTACTTAATGGGTTGTTACTCATAATCAGATTTTAGTGTGTTGTAAATGTTTCTATTACCTATACAAGAAAAAAAAATGTTACAATCATGGTTGAATACCCTAACGACTTAGCTGGTGTGGGTGTATGTTTCATTGCCTGGCAACCTATCTTTTTAAATATATTTCATGCATGTATTTTTTCACAAGTTGAATTATCTTGCACATGCACTTATATACTATTCAAAAAAAGTAGGGGATATTTGATTTTGGGGGCATAATACTAAAATATGCAAATGACTACAAAAAAAGTCACTATAGAACCTAACAGAAGAAACATTTCCAGTTACATGTGACGCCCAAACGCACCAATAGCTACCGCATGGAATGCAGGTGATGCTTGGGATCATCATGGGGGTCCAACCCAAGATTTGCACGACTCTGACTTTGAATGTTACAGTCATTGTGGCATTGAATTCCAGGGTGGAAACATCAGTTTAATTGTTTTAGTGACCAGAAAACAAATTTTGATATGCGTCGGCTTACCCAAAATGAAAGGTTACGTGCCCTTGGCATGCTACAGATCGGCACAACACAGGCGGTTGTGGCGCGGATGATGAATGTTTCTCAGTCTGTCATAAGCAGGCTATGGTCCAGATACCGTGATACACAATCTGTACAGGACAGACCACGCTCAGGTCGACCAAGGGCGACAACTCAAGCCCAGGATCGATTTATCCGTACCTTGGCCTTGAGAAATCGTGTCATCACAGCAAATCAGATCAGCGCTCGTCTTCAAACAGACACTGGTGTGAGAGTGAGTGGCCAGACGATTCGGAATCGACTGCATAGGGGTCACCTTCGCGCCCGACATCCTCGCGTGATCCCTTGTTTGAGAGATCATCACATTCAGGCAAGACGTCGTTGGTGTAAGGATCGTCAACACTGGGATAATCGACGCTGGAGCAATGTGATGTTTTCAGATGAGTCAAGGTTCACTGTTGATTTTTTGGACAGACGTAGGAGGGTGTGGCGTCGTCGAAGCGAGCGCTTCCAAGACGTTAACGTCATCAGACATGATCGATTTGGGGGTGGTTCTGTTATGGTCTGGGGAGGCATCACTGTTGCTGGAAGAACGGCTTTACATGTTGTTGCAGGGCGTGTTACAGGCCAGTACTACCGGGACAACATCTTGGCAGTCCATGTTGTGCCGTTCGTACGACGTCATGGCCGCCGTTTCATCTTCCAGGATGACAACGCAAGATGTCACAGGGCCAGGATCGTTACAGGTTACCTCCAACAACAGAACATCACCACATTACCTTGGCCAGCACTGAGTCCTGACCTCTCCCCCATCGAGCATGTCTGGGACATGCTTGGACAGAGGTTACTTCAACGTCAACAACGTCCTGCCAATGTCCAAGAACTTGCTGCTGCGTTGCAACAGGAATGGGACAATCTGGACCAAAATGACCTTAGACGTCTCATTAGGAGTATGCCACGTCGGATCAATGCTTGTTTGGCAAACAGAGGAGGATTTACACGTTACTGACTTGGTTGTGATGCTGTGGTAACTTTGCTGTTTGACCCCGGGTATCATTTTACCCTTATAATGGTCAGTCTGTGCCTTACTTAGTCTAACGATCATTTGGAATAAATCAATTAATCTGAACTTCATTTCATTTTGTCATTTGTTTCTTCGTCAGTTTCATTAGGTGACTTTAATAACACTTAAAAATCAAATATCCCCTACTTTTTTTGAATAGTATATGTCAGTTGTGGTAGTGTTTCTCTATAGATATTTCATGTCTCTTTCCATAGTTAATTTGTAATATATATTTTTTGCATGTAACTATTAGTAATTAATATATTTTATGCATGTATCTATTGGTAGTAGTAGTAGAGTAGTGTTGGGGTTTAACTTTGTTTTCAGTCGATGATTATATTTTAGAGGATGAATTGTCAGATGACTTAGAAGAATTAGGATTTTCTAAAAAGAAAGATGATGAAGACAGTGATTTCATCGCAGAAGAAGATGATTCAGGAAGTGATTGGGGCAGTAAAAAAACAACCAAAACACCAAAGGGAAAGGTATGTGACTGTAAATGTTCTGTTTATAAAATCTACCGAAAAATACAGGAAAACGACCAAAGACAAATCATATCGCCATATTGTAAGCATATTCTACCTTATACATGGCACCTGTAAGAAGCTATGAAATCAAGAGTCTGTTTCCATACATGGAAGTTAAAGTCTGATTAAAAGTCTCAAGCATTATATGTTTCAGGGTAAAGGAAAGGCAGCAAGCGTAAGAACACCAAGGTCGCGAGGTCGTCCACGAAAGTCAAGATCTGATGTAGATTCTGATGAGTATTTAGATGAATATGTTCCTAGACCTAGTAAAACACGAGGACGTGCCAGCAAGGCATCAAGAGACGATAGTGATGAAGAAGAGGAGAGTTACTCACCTCCCCCTAAAACAAAATCTCGCCCACGCCCCAAAAAAGCAGCTAAAAGTGAGAGTGAAGAAGAAATTTCCACGCATAAAACTAAAGCCAAAAAACGTAAAAGATGTGAATTTGGCAAAAAATGCTATAGGTAATTGTTCATATTTAATAAAATTATACTACCATTACCAGCAACTTCAACAAATATCTAAAAAAAATAAACAGAGTTCTGTGGTAGAACTTACAAAAAAGATTTATTTTCCTGACTGATTTATTAGGAGTACTGCCAGGGATGGACCCTGGGGTCAGCACTTTACAAAAAGCAGAGCAGGATAGTGAGACTGTGACAGGGTAGGGTGTATCTCGGGGAAATTAGTCAATTACACTTTTTTGCATTTTTAAACTTTCCCAATTAATATGCACATTTCTGTCTAAGCTGTGTATCTTTACGCCAATTAGAACTGTTCTGGGTATCATGTTATTATATTATTATTATTATTTAATACATTTATATAGCGCATCTTTCACCGAAGTGTTCAGATGCGCTTAACAATAACAAAGTAAAATACAATTTATAATAAAAAAGAAGTTCCTATAAATTCAATTTATAATAAAAAGAAGTTCCTAAAAAACGGTTCCTAAAAATAAAAAAGTAAGAAGAGAGAGACAATGTAAGAATGATATAAATTTTTTTTAAAACTACCCATAAAACAGTCAAATGTGTAAAATCACTAAAAAGCGTGTTTGAAAAAAATGAGTTTTCAAGTGCGATTTGAATGTAATGATGGAAGGTGATTTCCGAATAAAATAAGGTAATTGAAAAGGCCCTCTCGCCATAGGATGCTAGTCTGGCTCGAGGTTGTACTAACAGTAAATCGTCACTAGAGGACCTTGTGTTTCTCACCGACGTGCGGATTTGTATCAATTCAGATAAGTATGGAGGTGCGAAACCATGGAGACATTTGTATGTGATTAACAATATTTTAAAATCAATTCTGAATGATACAGGAAGCCAATGAAGGGTGTAAAGAATTGGAGTTATGTGCTCATGATAATCCACACCAGTAACCAGACGTGCTGCAAAATTTTGCAGTTTTTGTAGTTTTGAAAGTAGCTTATCCGGTAGACCAGTTAACAGGGAGTTCAAACAATCAAGAAGTGAAATCACAAGAGATTGAATTAAAGTTCTAGTAGCATCAACAGATAAATATTTACGTATTCTGCTGATATTGCACAGATTATAATAGCCATTCTTACAAATATTATTAACATGATTTTCCATTGTAAAATGTGAGTCAAAGATGGCTCCTATGTTTCTTGCAGTTGTATCTTGATTTGTGGAAATTTTGAAATGCAAAAGGTTCTGTTTCTTAATCTTTAGAAATTCTTAGATACACCCTTTTGACACTTTACCTACGATATTCAACTTTTCAAGTAATATTTTATATTGAACCAAGTCAATAAATCAATAGATAAAGAAATGATCATCTTCACCCGTGATCCCCCCATAAAACTTGGAATTAATAAAAATCTGACAAGTCATCCTCTATGTTAATGGCTATTTAACATAAAATGCAATTAAGTAAAGACAATTAATTTTTTTTTTATGTTCACTGTTCATTTGTCTGTGCATCTACACGTCCACACTATACAAATTTTTGAGATTTTTTTTTTTCAAACTATCTGGGATTGTTTTGCTAGTTCTGAAGAGCTGCACACAGTTTATTTTGCAGAGTTACTGTCCCCCTCACCGTAAACATGGAAAAACTCTTCAATTTGTTGTGATTGCTTCACTAATCATAAGGAGTAACCCTTTTAAAATTCAAACTTGCCATTCAGTGTTTTTTCATGGTTATTGCTCTTGAAAGTCCCACTTCCGAATGCCGCTTGGAAACACTATGTTTATGAAATATAGTTTGTCCCCAAATTTCCTAATTTTTTAATTCTTTTTTTTTATTATTTAGGAAAAATCCAGGTCATTTTAAAGAATTTTGTCATCCTGGTGATGATACATATGAAGAAGAAGATGATGAACTACCTGAATGTACATATGGTCAAGATTGTTATAGGTAAGTTAAAGCCAAGATTTGTTGACTAATAATTGCCACATTTAGTTATTAAGACCACCATCCGAGTTCTCTTGGTCAAATAGTATATCAATGGATTCATAATTTAATTGGTCATTTTGATTTTTTATGGGCAATCTATGGCTTTTTTGCCTAAAATTTATAACCATATCGATAAATCAGCGCAACATGTAAGTTTAGTTAAAATCTTTTAATGGGCAATTTCAGTGCATTTGGATCCATGCTGAAAGGTTATCTATCGTTGAATTTTTTCTTTCTTATTTCTATTTAGTCTGTTTGTCTGCCTGCCTGTCCGCCCACCCTTCTGCCCCACTGCCCGTCTGCCTGTCTGCCCATCCGCCTGCGTGCCTATCTGTCTATCTGTCTGTCTAGCTGCCTGTCACACTTTTTAGGACACAATAACTCTCCTTAGAACTATTTGAGCTAGAGTGTTCAAACTTGGTGTAGGTGTTTATGGGGTGAATGCCTTGATGGAGTTCGAAGATGAGCAATTTCTGCTTAAGCAAAGCAGAGATAAGCAATTTGATTGGTTGATGCTTTGGGACACGATAACTTAAATGAGAGTGATGAAACTTTGTATATAGTTTCATTATATAAATACCTTGACTAAGTTCGATAATGAGCATTTTCTGCTCAAGGTAAGCAGAGCAATGAGCAATTTGATTGGTCAAGACTTTGGAGCTCGATAATTTTGATTCTAATTGAGTGAAAGTGGTTTAAATTTGTGTATAGTTTAAATACATCAGAATTGATCTACTCGTAACTGAGATATTAGCTTTTGAATTTTAGGCCTAACCTCGATCATCATTACTAAAGTTGGTACGATAAAAAACATAGTCTCGATTATCCATTTTTATACGTCCACATTATATGCCTAATTGGGTGTTTAGGAAATTGAATAAATAACATTTATCATTCAATGTTTTTAAGAAAAATGTGATAGTTTTTGCTAAGATAATGTTGGAGTGATTGACATTATCTTATGCTAGATAGAACTATATAGTATATAGCGCCAAACGTCTACACCACATCCAGATTAGAGGTATCTATTCTAGCTTGTATTATGATTCATGTTTAGTTTTTTGTTTTATCTGTCGGAGTAGGACACTAAACCCCATTTCATTTTATTTAGTAGTTTTATATTTTTTGTAGAACAAACGCAAAGCATAAAGAAGAATATTCTCACTCTAGTAAACCATCAGCCACAGTAAGACCTAAACGAGACACAGCTGGTTAGTATTGATCTCCGTGGAAACATTCATCATGTGTCATTCTTCTAAAGTCCTTAATCTTAATCCATATTTTCAAAAATCTTTCTTACAGTCTCCTTCATATTCCTGAAGGAATGGCCTGAGAAATCGCTCTCTGGCCATTGCTGGATTGGCTTCTGATACTTGAGCCTTTGAGGGAGTGTGTCTATTCTTCCCCTTCAATCAAATCTATCCCAAGTACAACAACATGACAGTCCTTCATTTAATCTGGGGTCTGATTTAAGATATTAAAAACGGTGACAGTATTATTCGTCTCCAAACAGTATTGTTTACATTGTATCCGTGTTGATAGCCTCGTTTGTCACCAAATTAGTTTTTCTGCAATATTCTGCTATGCACTGGTTAATTGGACATAATAAAATCATGAGTCATGACGTAACGTTATGTATTTGGTATAATTTGGAGCTTTGTTTAAAGCGTAATGATATTGTTAGATTGTTAGCTATTAGTTGTTAATCGAACTATTGATGAGTCATAATTTGGAACAGAAATTTGCTTCCTTTACAGCAGTGTTAAGTTGGATTAGCTCTAATCAAACGAAACACAGCGAGGAGTATGAGTCTCCTGCAACGTGGGAAAGTTTTGTTACTTCATTGACATTGTCCACCCCTCAACCCCCTCCCTTCCATAAAAGTTTATTCTAGTTGACATCTTTCACTCTTCTAAATGGGAAAGCACATATTTTCATTGTACTGGTGAAGCCGTTAGTGGGATAATTTTACTAGAGACAAACTTTTAATATCTTCGTGATATGTTTGATCCTAATCTTCGCTGATGTTCTAGTCACGACAGAGGGCCTGGCAAAGAAAAGTGATAAGCTGTTCAAATGCTGCAAAACCCCCAAGTCTATCCGTGTACACATCGATGTCTGTCTGTGGGGTTGGGTAGCTGAATAGTCAAGGACAAGGAGTAGGGTCGCCTGTCTAACCTCATGGGTTTTCTCCGGGCTCTTCGGTTTCCTAAAGTCCCTTACGCGCTAGCAAATTACTGAAATAAGATTGTACCATATGTTAGTCCTGAGATGACCAAGTTTATGTCGAGTGGATGTTAAACCCCATTTATCTCGTTGGCTATCTCTTTATATGCCTGTCTTCATTAGCCCGGTTGGTACAGAAAAATAGGAATTTAAACCTCATTTCATCTCATTTCAGGTAAGAAGAGTTTATTAGAAAATGATGAAGATGATGATGGTGAAGTCAACACATACAATTATAATGACTCGTTTTTAGACAACTCTATGGAATCATCTGAGGAGGAAACTTTTGATCCAGCAGATGAAGACTCAGATTATGATCCAGAAAGCGAAGATGTTACAGGTCTCGTAAAAGAAGCCAAAGGATTTTCTAGAAATAAAAAAATGCAAAAACCAGCAAGAAGTAGATAGAGATGTTCATATTGAATAGTTCTAAAAAGAATTACATTTGTTATTATTATACATAATTCTGAATATTATTAATAAGAGCTGAATGTGGCGAGATATTGGATTCATTTCTGACAGATATGGTTTTCAGAATGAAATTGCTCATTATCTTTGGATGATGGCTGTCTCTTGCATGGAAAATACATTTTTAAAATCCTAACTTTGTTAACATTCTGTTCCTTCTAGTCGTGTTTGTCAAAATTTTAAAAGGACATTTCAAGGAGAAAAAGCTGTCTGCTTATGGTAAAAGCTGGTGTAAATCATATTACAGAAATGATTAAGAGATGTTAGCAGGTTAATAGTGAGAGAATGCCCTATGATAAGGGAAGTAAGATGGAAACAAAAACCTTGAGAACAAAGTAAAATATTCTAGTAAAGATATTAAAATGATTGTATAATTGTTTGGTGTTGTTTCTGGGAGTTGAGAAAAGGGATAAGTAGTTGCTAATGTTTTCATATTTCCGGTTGAGATGTAATTGAAAATTGAAGAATAAAGTAGCACAATTTTGTTGATAGCTTCAGAATGGTATTAATTATTTGTTTAATATCTCCGATAGATTTAAATAGATTTGTTTGTATAAATATGTTGTTTATTATTATTTTACTGTAGAATGTTATTGATGTGAATTTTATACTTTCTCTAGATTTTCTTAGTGCTTTTATATTGACGACGACAATAATTTGGTTCATGGATATTTTATATGATCTTTTTTTTTTAATTCCTGGGTTAAAAGTTTAACATTATGGATTTTAGATTTAGTATGCAAATTTAAAAGTTTATTTTAACTGATAATATGTTATGTATACAGTGCTCTCAGATAAAGAAACAAGGAAGCTTGTTAATGATAATCCTTTTTTTTTAAAAGTACTTTTAAGTACTTATTGTCATAATGTTAAACTTTCTTTGTTCAACATCATAATTCTAAGAATTTTGTCTTAAATAATGTACTTATAAGTTCTTAGACTTGTAATTTGTTTGTTTTTGGTCAGTAGTTTACTAATTATTGTAAGGCCAGACATCATAAACTACTATTAAATGAATTCTTTTGCCTGGGTATGTGAAAAAGCCTGAAATTAAATTACCATGCAAAAAAATATCATGTTACATACATTTAAAAATATCAAAACTCTTCACTTTTCACTGAGTATTTCAAATTGAGCTTCTGTAGAATAAGATTTTGTTTTTGATCTGGCTTTTCTTAGATATTTACATTTTAAGTTTAAATTCATAATTTATATTGTAAAAAAACAATAGGTACATGTACAATATTTTTACATAACATTTATTCAGATAATTATTTCCTGTATATTATATTTTTAAGTCAGGTTTATTGTTATCGTACAATAATTGTTTTATGGCAAAAGCACTAAAAATATTTTGTATGTCATGAAAAATTCAAAAGTCATCTGTAGATATTCAAAGCAACACCATACACAATATTTTGGTCATTATTATTAGAATTAATTGATCACAGCATATTCATTTTTCACTTTCACCATATCTGATTCATTTAATCCATAACATATTGCTTCACATTATCAGAGATATCTTCCATTTTAAGATTGTCTTAATCATTGTGGAGACTGGGGATCATTGACTTTTAGTCATTTTTTATGGCATAGATATAAATCTATAAATCTTATAGTGTGTTTATTGTTGGCAGCTAGCAAAATCAAAAAAAAAAATTTACCCCATTTATCAGGATATGCCCAGTATATCGTCATCAAATGTGCAAAGATTTTAACCCTCAACCAATGAAAAGACTGTATCCTTAAAGGAGCTAAATCGCTAACATTTGGGACCTAGAAATTGGCAAAAGTGGGTCGCAGCGCATATAATACTGTAATATGAATGTATATAAACTGATTTACATTCAATGTTTCCGTTTTTACTCCAATTTCAAATCATTTATGTTCGGCGAAATAAGCCAGCAGTCTCAAGCGAGTGCAAATTTCTAGCATCTGGTTATTCCTGTCTACATATGCCGTTTGATTTGGTGCATTATGGTACATGATTCGTGTACCAATGGTAAAATGTTTATTTTGTCTTAAATATTGGATGTCAAAACCCCATCTTTTTCCGGTAAGATCACAACATGAAAGTTGATTTAATTTGACAAATAAATCGAGTTTTCAATGTTGAAGATTATGGATGATATTGAGTTAGAGACTTAGCTACTTTAAGATAATTCAGTTTAAGTTTTGATGAATAAGGCCCTTGATGAAGTTGAGATTAGAACTTGCACAGAAGATGAGTGCTATTGGTGGGCTTATAATTGGCCTGTTGATAGGGTGCCCCACCAGAAATAAATATCTCCAAATATTTGTGACAATTATAACATATTTATATATATAACAAGCCTTAACTGAAAAGGTAAACAACAAGTGGCCATTACATGCATGCATTTTTGGTGAAAAATGGCTTGCGTGAAATTCTTTGTGCTAAACTAGTCTACTGACCGTTGTCTGGCTGGTTGACAGGCCTGGATATTCAAGACTATTTTCTATTACAGAAAGCTAGATCAAGAAATCTAATTTAGTAACTTGCTAGTTAGGCAACTCAACAATTATTTTGAGAAACGTGTAAAAGGAAAATACTACTAGTATTCTATTCATGCCTAATGAAGCAGCTTTGTAGATATTAATTGTACTAAACCAACAAAAGATGCCGCTGCTAACGATATAGTTAATGATAAAGCAAATTAAAAAACAAAGCGAACATAATTTTCTAAAGCTGCTGTAACAAATAAAAAGCTAAATTTTACTGTTCAAAATTGTTAACAATAGATTTTTACGGCTTTAATAGTTGATAGATGTATAGAAAATATCACAAGCGATAGCTATTTATAGGCTCATAGAACATACACCGGATTATACTCGTGCTGCATGTCTACCCTGTAATCACTTGGGAACTTGTCATTTGAGTGTGAACATTCGGTGGGGTGAGTTCAACTTTTAATAGAGCAGATTCTGACTGTTTGGGGCACCCTACTGTTGAAACATTATTTGTAAGAATGGATAAAGAAATTTTTTTAATGTGGGTGGGCTGTGGAATATAGGTTGGTATTACAGGAGACACAACTTGGCAGAAGAAATAATTGGGCCATGTATATGTAATGTAATGTACCTGTATATCAGTTTTATAATTAATATACCAGTCTTAAAAAGAAAAAAATATATATAGTTTATTGCTAATCTTTTTATTTTAAATTTAATTTGTTGTCTATGATATAGTATATCTATTCAATTGTCAGATTTGTTCACAGTTCATTCTATTGTACAGACTATTGTAAGTCATTCTCATTATCTGGATTGTTGATTTATATACATACATATATATATAAAATAAACATAATTTACATAAATCATATCAAAAATACATCTCAGGCCTTTTTTATTATTTGTTAAAATATTAATATATAGCCTGTTATGTTTGGACTAAAGCTGCTTACTGTCATTTGAAGGATATTGTATCCTTTGCAAACTACAAAATTGTGAAAGTTGAATCTCTAAAATAAATTGTGGTTTAGTAGGTACAAAGATGTGATGAATTAAAAATATCCCAATATTCAGCATTCTCTGCATAGGCTATACCGTCAATACATTTTAGCATGTATTATGCCATGCAAAAATTTAGTATTGTCCAAAAATATGCAAATACATAGTATAAAATGATTTATGTTGTAAGCTTATATCTACATGCAAAAAGATTATTTGGCTAAAATGGCTGTTGTAACTTGTGTGTTAATACCACAGGTTCCAGATCCTCGTTTGATCTTAAAGTAACCCTTTTCACCCCACTTCTCACCCCATGAATTTTTGATCATCCAATAAGGTTTGGATCCAAATAAGGTTTTCTCCACTCCAAATCCAACCATTAATACAGCTGAAAAGATATAAGTAATGTAGTCAGTGTTTATGAAATCCTAACAAATGTGCATTGGTATGTCTTGTGGCCTAGAAAAAAATGAGTACACATTTTTTCTGGACCACCCGATTATTTAAATGGAATACTCGTTTCTTCTGGCCCACTTGATATGAGAATGATGCAACTGCTTAATACAGTGACAAATTGGAGCAATTTGGAAAAGACAACACCATACTTCATGTTATAGCTGCATTAGCACACATTAACTGTACAAAAATCAACAATAAGCACATCTTGAGCACAGGTGAAAACCTATGTACACAAAGGGACCAAGCAACACACCAGATTCCCAGACCTGAGATTTGATCAGATAAAAAAATAAATTTTACCATGGTCAAGAAGTTTAGGATTACATGTAATAGGACTAAAAACTCCAAACTTATAAAACTGTAGAAGTGAAGCATCTAGAGCTACCGACAGTGGCCCTAGTAACATTAAACCATGAGCTATTGTTGTTTCATCCTTGAAAATAAAACAAAAGCCAAAAATAAATAAATACATTATTAAACATACATTATGCAAGAGCAAAATCTGCCTATTGCAGGTCTTTCTTTAGACCTGAAATGTATTCTAAATTATTAATTAGACATTAATTAACTTATCCAAGCCATAATCAACTCTCAATGGCATCGGATTTCACTGATATTAAATAGATTAGAACAGTTCAGCCATATTTTGAAATTAGTGCACACGTCTAGTCAAACCTTCAAAGGCTAATATCTCCTTGCAATAGATTAATTTGAATTAAATTTTCAAATTATTCATTTTACATTATCTATTTTCGAACTATTATAGCAGGAATGGCTAGCTCTTTATCTAAATCTTACATAATGTATCTTTAACTTTTATAGATTTGACTGGTAAATCGTTGTTTAGGCAAAACGTACACATTTTAATTCAAATAATCTATTGTGCTTTGAAATGGCTTTATAATATGGTTCCCTGGCTACGTTTTGTAGCGCTCGCCCTTATTGAGTTAATTGAAATCATCCGTAATTTTATACAGTTCTGTTTCGATGCAGAGCAAACCAACAAAATTGTTACCTGATCAACGGCTTGCCAATCATCAACTTTTAATCCAGGAACAAATTTAGACTTGTCTAGTTTAGCGTCACAACTTTCGTTTTTCTGACAATATTCAACAGGTGGACCACACAATGTCTTATTGTAACCCTGAGCAGGACAGGTGAAACATTTACCTGTACCCGAGCAATAGGCATAATCATTCCAACTCTCTAAACCTCCCTAAAAAGATGCACATAACATAATATAAACAACCAGTAGCGGATCCAGAGGCTGTACATGGGGGGGGGGGGGGGGGTGAGAGGGTGGGGCGGGGTCCAAATCTAGGGCGCCATTCACAGTCCCACCCACAATAACTGTCAAACAATGACGTAATGAAATGCATAAGTGTATTCAAAAACATAGATCATATCGCCTATATAGTTGTTCGCCGACCGTTATCTCGCCGGAAAGCAGCATGATTGTTATTGATTTTGTTATTATTTTTCTATGAATCTTATGGAATGTTGACAAACCTCCGAATGTTAAATTCATTAATGCGTTACACGAGAACAGTCTCCAATTTTGGGAAAAATTGAGTTACGGATGTTTTGGAGATTAAACACCCAGATCTGCCTCCAGCTGTTTATAGATATAAAACCGTCTGGTTCCAAGATCGTTGATACTCATTCTTATCATTTTTCTAGGACCAATAATAGTTCTTTTTGGTGTCAGTTGAATACAGAAAAGTTTTGTAGTCCTGAAACTTGAACCCCATTTTCTTAGAATCATCTTTTGCTGATATAGAACAGTCAATATTAATTTTTGCAGCCGGTCATGCGTGAAAGAGTTCTTAAGATTAGTGTTAGCAATAATCGCCACACTGAGAGAGAAACATATATGTAGTTCTTGGCGAGAAGCTGCTTAATATGTTAGATTACCTGTCTTTTTACATATTCATAGGCTAGAAAAGGCCAACCACCAAATACACCACAATCTGCCTTATTTCTGTAATAAAATATAAACATTGTTTTGTATATTTGTATACCAATTTTGAACTACAAAATCCGACAAAATACAATAACCATTCAGGTCACGCCTGAATCCTTGGGAAATACTTATTAATTATCTATGTGCATATAACATACTTACAGTTTAACATCTTCGGTGCCGTCGCAATCAACAACTTGTTCAACTGAAAAGTTTGACAAACTCTTTCCCTGTAAAGCCCACTGACTTTCAATATTACCCACAGTACTGAAATGATACAATGGACAATAGTCACTATCATTAATGAGTCAATAATAAATATTAAATATACTGATTCACGGTTATAAAAAGTTGTTACAATGGTGTGTTCATGATCGTTTGGAAGGGGTTGGGAGAATCCGGAAGTCCAAACGGGGTCGTCAAAAAAAAAACAAATATGCTTATTTTTAAAACAGGATTTTCTAAGATAAATAATTAATGATGATATTTGACTTGCCTAAAAGCCCAGCAGGTTCCAACACTTCCTATAATATAAAGATACTATACATAATTTACTAAATTAAGTACATCATTATAACAATGAAGAGAATACATTGCTTATATACATTGCTTGTTTCTGAAATCGCTAAGAAGTCTAAATATAACAAAAGTATTATCAGCTTTCTAACCTTGATCTTTCACGCTGGTCACCATATTTTTATCTCTCCAGTCATATGAATCAGGTAGAGGGGCACTGGCTTTAATGTTAACATATCTAATTTCAAGGAAAAGAAACTAAATAAATAAATGTATGAATTCATTTGTGAATTACATGTGTATAAGATTCTCTGATTTATGACTAGCAAACCCAATATAGAGTAAGATGAATTGTTTGTATTTACATTTATAATATCTTTTTTTTAAAAAAATAATTCTATAGTCGTTTATAAGATGCACTGATTTACCTACTTTTTAGAATCGAATACGGGTGCTTGTCTTTTCGGCATCAAAATCTTTTTCTGAAATTCTTTTGGAGATAGGTCAGCAAATTGATTTATTCCAAAACCAGTTCTTCCACTAAATTTATATTTAAAACAACAAAAAGATAAGTGAACACTTGTTAGATCTGTTTTCTCTGAAAGCGAGATATACAAAAGCTATACTTTCCTGAGCAAATTAAATTTCTGTGTTTTGTGGGGCTTTTGAACCTGATATTTATTTAAGTCCTCATCAACCTTCAATAACCGAATCAAATCGGCATAGAACCATGTAATACTTGGACAGGGGCTTCTTTGTGGTGTACCATAAAGAAATGATTTTAATCCCCCCAAAATATTAATATCTGTATTTTCGTCAAATCTTCAAAGAACGTTTTGAAACTTGGACATATTAGGTCCATACATAAATGACATGTAATTGGGTGACGACTATAAACTGTTGTAAATTGTTATTGAATATACACACTTAATCATTGTGACCAGGAGCACACATTTTCAAAGAAATATGAATTGCAATAATCTATCCCAATGTTACCCAAACCAAGACATTTAAGAACATAATATTTCATCTAAATGTCAGTAGTATACAAATAGAAATAGAGCCCGGTGAAAGTCCGCTTAGACACTGTGTTTTCTGGTAATCCTTTGCAATTTATATAGAATTATTATTAATTTTAGACGGTATGTATATTTATTCTTTTAATACATATGTTGACAATTTACGCGTCTACAGAAAAGTTCGATATCTTACCGGTATAATGTATTTAGTTGATTAATATACTGGATATTGTCTTTAAAAGTTCGATAACTCTTGTTCTCTTCTTGTTCATTGGGGTAAATTTTATCATGTTCTATCATCCAAAATCTACAGAAAAAATAAAAACGAGACAAGAACCGCTATTAAAGATGCCACTGAAAGTATCCCCTTTGATAGTTGGCACGATTTGATATTTTCCGATATTTTAGGAATCGCACATTTGTTTTAACTGTGTATTTCTTTAGTTCATGGCATTCACCAAATTTAAATTTTCACAAAATGAATTTCGTTAAATCTTACCTGAACATCTCTTGAACTTCATCGTCAGTTGTAGGATATTCTCCATTACTTTAAGAATATATAAAACATATTTCAAATTTATTTGCATTGTCTTTAATTGATATGATATCGTAGACTTTAACGTCTCCTCAAGATTTTACTTTGATCATCTTTGGAGTAACTGTAACATATGGCAAATCTGTTTCGTCTCTGTCCCTTTTCGAATTTCCACCGTCAGTGAGTAGGACGTTGGCTCCCTAACCTGTAGTTCCCGTGTTCGATCCCTGCGTTGGCCGAGAAAGTTCATCGGAATTTTCCGGCGTAGTTCCCCCTTGTCAGTGGTGTAGGACGGAGGGCCTGGCATGGGACAACGTATAGTCGTTCGGATGGGACACGAAACACCGAGGTCCCGTGTATACATTTGATTGGCGTGCACGTAATAGAACCGTTGACAGATGGTATTCGAAATAAGAGTAGGCCGTAGCGCCGCTGTCCGGGCAAAATTAGCCCTATAACATACTGAATGGCGTATGCCCGTCTTCATTAGCCCAGTAGAAGCAGAACAGTAGGACGTTAAATCACATTCCATTTCTGGGGATCATAGATATAAGACATGATTGTGGGGGCTAGTAAGAAGTTTTACATTGTACTAGAAAACCAATAAATCCCTTATAATTTTAACCAAATAGTTTTAACATAAGCCACGCACCCGGATAGTCAGGATGATCATTTTAAATTCATCTAGTGTACATTTAATGAGGGCGTTCCAGAATACTATCAACTCCCTGGCACCAAAGGGCTATTTATGGTTTAGTCTGTGGATTGTCTTATCCATCAAAATATGAAATTAACTCATATGATAGTATGCAATTTGTCGGATATATATACATAATTTTGAAAATCAAATCAAAATATGAACGATAGATGATAGACCAGCTTGGGTCCAATCGGATTAAAAGGAACCGATCAAAAGTTTTCAGCGATTTAGTAAATGGATCTGGCATGCGCTAACTATAATTAATTATCGTCTGAAGTCAGTTCCGAAGTTGACTAATTTTCAATTCATCATTATCTTGGTAAATACTGAACAGAACTGAACCATTTTGGACTGATATTCCGTTTACAGAATCAAGTTTTACAATATTGTATTAACAATCCCTTTAATGGAATTTAGAGACTTTAATTATATTCCGAAGTCACTGGATAGATGTTCCACACTTAGCGGTAACTATCTCCCCTTAAAAGATGTTATCACAAGACTACATGACGACTGCATAAAAACAAAGACAGTTTCAAACGAATGTGGGCTATTCCAAACTTTTCAATTCTATTAAAGATAACGTGCTATTTCTATTTGGGGATGGAGGTTGATTAAGGGGGAATCTAGATAATTTAGGAAATATTGCACCCATTAGACGTTTTCAGAAAATAACAACATGTTTTCCGTATGCTGAAATTCAGATTTATTCGCAATCCTTACATAAAGGCATGAATTAGTTCTTGCTGGGTGGTTTTATCATCAACATTTTTCGGTTTATTGCAATATTTGTTTATACCCAATTTTAAAAAAAATTAAATAAGCTATAAACCTATCGTTCATTAGTTTTCGAGAAAAATCATTTTATACAAAGGTAACCCATAAATTAGGCAGCATCGTGGAAATGTGACGCCTTTTAGTATTACCCATGTGTAAGCATACACTTTCTCGTGCACAGCACAACAAAATCTGAATATACCAGTTAGACTCGTCAACTTAAAATTAACCCACCCCTTGGGTATAATGTTGTGAGGTTTGTGTTCGTGTTAAAACTTACCTAAGAGAAACCAGTAAAAGTATAAATATTACAGGTAAGACGGCCATACTGCTTGATTTATATCTATAGAACAGGTGATTAAAACATATTTAATAATTGAACTTTGAACCTGACTGATTACTCTATTATCTGTCATCACAGATGTGAGAGAGGGGTTCTAATAATAGACCCACATCTCACCAAATACAGCGGATTAAAGCGATGGATTTTCCCTTATCAAGATCTGTCAATATTTGTATCAGTCAAATATCACAAACAAACATAAAAATTAGTCTCGTTTGTCTAAATTACAGAGGAGTATTATTGGAAAGGCTTCACACTTTCAAACTTATGCTGTTACATGGGGTTCATCAGCCAGGCAAGACCATCATACTTTCAAACGGAGCGATTTTATATAAAAATGCATTACACAACAACTACTTTTTTGTCATTTCTTTTGTTGACTTTTTAAAAATAATTCATTAGAAAATGAGCATGATACACAGATTAAATCGAAGTAATGAAAAATAAATAGAAATTATTAGGTGCATTTAATGGGGAAGGGAACCCTTTGACGTGCTTCGGTGATTCTGCATGAATGATCGATGTAGTTTTGATGAACCCTCCTTAATAATCACCGACAAGAACCGGCAATACTTTGGGAGCTATTGTGACAAAAGAAGCGTTCTTGTCGGCGATTATGTATACCGGACCCACGAAACCGCTTTATGTATCTTAATATTTTTGAATGAGGTTTATTTAATATTTTCTTGGAAACCAATAAATTTTAATTATCGAGAAGAATTACCATACTGAAAAATACACACAACCTATAAATATTCAAAACGATTTTAATAAACACCAATTCAAATATACACAGATATAAACATAGTTTTAGCACTTTCATTTTATCACTTTAAAATACATCTAGAGCAGTCTACATTTTTAGTATAGTTATATTTAATTCGAACACATTCAACCACATTTCATGGATAAGTAATAACGATTTAGTAATTTAAAATAAAAACAACTACAAACACGTCTTTAGAAATATGTATAGTATTATCCAAACTAAAATACATTTCCAAACATACACATATATCGCTATTATTGGAAGGTTCCCAATGTCAAGCTTACATTCCAATACGTTGTAATATCGGATCAATTTAACACAAATGGCACAACACCAAGAACACTGAATAACCGTTTTATGGGCCCATGAATCCTAAACTGCGACGGATACAAATCCGCGAATCGTTCTCACTATTCCTTATTTCCACTAAGAATTTTTGGACCATCTTCTTGTTCTTCTATTTCTTGCGGGGAGATGTCCCCGAAAAAAACCAAGGCTCCGCATATTCAAATACGGTCGACATGTAACTTGGCATGCTTTTTACTTGGACAATTGCGTATTGACTGACGATTCGAAGATGGCGGTGGTACTATCGCACTTTTTGTGAGACGCCTTATCCAAACTATATTCCTTGTCTAATATGAATAACGAACCAATTTATTTGGAACCCAGAAATGGATGAAACCGATGGCTTGATTTGGAGTTTGGCGGTGTAGTGTGAGTTTTAGTTGCTATAGGTTTAATTATTCCCATCTTTCGAGTTTCACTCAAAAAATCTCTTGCATGTACGGAACTTGATTTGTGACTTTCGGGTATGTTCGAATTTAATGAAGGAAAGGGAATTCTATGTGACACTATACTGCTGCTATTCGTGGCGGAACGATTCGGGTCTATGGATGAGCAGAACGGTGACAAATAGTCCCTAATTGGCATTTTATCCTTTAATCCGTAATTATGATATAGGTATTCTGTGATTGGATAACGTGACATGGGTGACATTAGTCCTACAGGCGGGCACGTTTGCACTTTATCCAGAAATAGTTTGTAAGCGGCCATTTGCTCATTTAAGGTTCTTGGATATGCAGGATTCATATAGAAGGGGAAAATATCCGTCATTTTTGGAACAGTTTGGCGATTTGGTTCCTGCCAGAATGAGGCCGGGAGTGGCCGCTGTCTCAGTGGAATTGCAGGATGTTGGTCCATAAATTTTGGGTCCGATTGCATTTCTCGTCTGCTCAGACCATGCGGAAATAATAATCTGGGTTGCACTGGTCCCGAATGAAGGGATTGTAAAGCAAAAGCATCCATTTCTATGATCCAGAAACGAAATATTCCTGGGAACACAAATAGATCACTAAGTGTAAAAAAAAAAGAAATCACAGAGTGTTGTTCACACACATTTTATAAAAAGTTCTTTGAAAGCAGTTTGGATAACGAAGTTTTCATTATTATCTATTTTAGAGCATTTCTGTAGCGAAAACTGTTGTTTTTATCATTTCACTTAACACTATCCTATTTTCACAAATTCGCGTATTTTAATTAGTTTTTGTCCAGTACACCTTTTAATAGAAGGTGCTATTTAAGTAAAACCACTAAAACAATTCTTCTCTCACTAATGCAATTATTTTCCCACCGAACTTCCTCTGTGGCATCTGCCCTGTCTGATATCGGGGAGATGGAAATTCACAGTGCGCGAAGTGCACGTGTTACTTTGTCAATATGGTTGTAGTTTTTATATTGAGAACGAGGCCGGGATGAAATACGGCGTATCGACGTGGTAGATAATTATTTGGAATGTTAACATGACAATAATGTCGACCCTAACTCGCTAACTATGTTGCTTATGTCGATTGAAAAGTGTCAGGCGTAAACAAGCGAACATAAACAACGAACCTAGCTCGCCTTTAATCATCTTTGCATCTCTCTTTTTTCCAGCCGGTTAGAATTCTAAACGCACATTCTCGACGTGTTCCGGTGCAGGCTTGGGATTCCACGCTCAGCGTTCGGCGTCGTTGGGGGAATATCTTAGTGGAGCCAGGAAATACTTGTAGAAAATGGCGTCATATTTACGATACCTGCTCTCAATTCCAACAAGTAAAAATGTAAACATCAAGAAAGAACGAAATCTTTTGATTTTCTTCTATCTTTTTTCCCTTCGTAGACATTAACTTGTGGAAAACTTAACTTGTTCAACTTAATGTTCTGCCAAAGTGTTTAAGTTTGTCATGTATATCTATGCAATCATTGGTTAGCTATTAAACATGATTTTATCACAGATGTTTGTCATTATGATGTGTTGAAATGCAATATATACTGAAATAATGTTCATATGTACCGTACTCTGAAGTCTAATATTGAAGCAGCAGCGGATACAGGATTTTTCAAAAGGGTGCAAACCGCAAATATAAGTATTTGGACCGTCTGAGATCCCCCCCCCCCCCCCCGTGTCAAAGTCGATTAAAATCTGCGACTTGTTAAAGGGATATGACCAGTTTTCCATAGAGACTAAAGTTGACATAAATTATATAGCATTCATATCAACAATTTGTCCACGGGAGTAAATCCCATACGACGACCGTAAATATAGACCCGGTTATCCAGACGAAACCTATTTTAAAACGTTACTTACGAGTTTAGCACCCCGGTCCGTCGGTTTGTCAGTCCGTTCACAATTCTTATAAACATGCCACATTTCACTTGAATTGATGGTGGGGACACTATTGAAAACGTGTCGGTTATCCAAGCGAAATTTATTTAAAACATGGCCCACGACATTAGCACCCCAGATTAGTGGTGCAGGACAGGCGGCTTGTTGAAGAACAGTGTCTAGTCGTTCGGATGGAACAAAAAAAAAACCGAGGTATCATGTACGTAGTAGAGAAGGCCGTAGCTTGCTAAACATACATTACGCAAGAGCTAAATCTGCCTATTACAGGTCTTTCTTTAGGCCTGAAATGCTATCTTAATCAACTCTCGATATCATCACTAGCCTGCGACATTTACTGGATTGGAATCCGATCTGCTGCTGAAAGCTCATTGATGATTAAATCAAAAAATGGATAATGCCTAAAATTCAATCGCTAAATTCTCGGTTTAGACTGCAATTTTCAGCAAATTCCCTTTACAATATCTAGTTTTAAACTATTATAGTGAGAACTGCCAGCTTTTTATCTAATCTCCCATAATGTATCTTTGACTAATAGACACTACAATTTTTTTTCTCCATGTTGAAGTGAATAAACGCTAATGTACGCTGGAAAATCAACGTTTTAGCCTGGTTACCCGTTTGCCATTTTTGGCGGTAAAGTCATTCCATTACTTAGACACAAGTACAGCTAAGTTCAACCCAGCTTTTGATTTACGGTTGTGAAAATATCCGAGTAATTTCAAGGAATCAGAGGAACGCGAGTAACAAATTGGATTTTTTAGTTTGGGGAAATTGTTAAATAGCAGACGACATGTTGTTAATTGCCACCAGATAGCGTCTCGGGAGAATAAAACGTCAGAAAGCTTTGAAGTAAAGAGAAGAAAACTCGCTAACTCTTTAAACAATTTCTTTCAAATTGTTTTACATACTTGTTTATTTTCTTTCATTAGTTTTTAGTTTTGTTTGAAAAAAAAACCCAGTTACTTAATAATTAGTTCCTCTGGGTTTATATTGAAACACATTGATCGTTTTCTGTTTGTTGATCTCTGCCACGGATCGATAAATTATTTAACGCCGTTTGAAGCGAATGGAAATCATATTTTAATTTATTTCCCTAGACCACCAAAAACTCCCTGAAAAAAGACCATTCTAATTCACAGAGATCTGGTGAATATTCCGTCATTTGTCATTCAGCTACTTTTATTTCTAGCACCTGTCTATAAAAAGAAAATTTGCATTTAATTGCATACGTGGAGGGCGTGGTGGCCCCATAAACATAACTGATTTATTTTCTAAAGTTAGGAATTTATATTTGAATTTTTAACTTTTACAATAACGGATCATTCTTGTAGCCACCACTAAATTATATGTTTTTATTTAGTTTCTAAAAACAGGGTTGTATGTAGTTCAGCTCTGAACGTAGGTCTCAGTACACTTGCCCTGTACGTTCAGGAACCGTCCTTTTGAATCCTTGTCGAAAAACTCTCGAACCCCAGTCAATTTTACTGGGCAACTTTTTGCTGCTAAACGGTCGCGTGTCAGTCCCTGTGAACGCCTGTACAATGTAAAGGAACATTTTAGTGAGAAAATAAGACCTTGCTTGCCTCGCTAGAGTCAGTATGCGCGACACAACATGCTGGTAAAAATACGTCCCCTTCTGCTACGGCTTGGCAGATTAAATTAGGGAAACGCAGAAGCCATTAAAATTTAAATATAGTATTAGGGTAACGCACAAATTTACGTAACTCGGACATATGAGGAAACGAAGTTATGTAAGCAGGTTTCTCTCACTGCTGAAGACTCCTACGCGCAAGCGAAATATTGAAATAAATTCTGCCATATGATAGTTCTGAAATGCCCTTATTTGTGTCATAATAAATGATGAGTTTAATAACAATAACAAACAATTAGTTATTAGTTTAATAACAAGTTTAATAGC